GATTTAGAGCTTAAGGATATGCTGTAGGTGGGAACTGTGCTAGGCGAACGGTTGGACTAGATGATCTCCAGGGTCCTTTCCAACCTAGATGATTCTGTGTTTCTGTGAATGGGCTGGACATCAGTCAGCGGGTGGTGAGCAATCACTCTATGCATTATTTGTTTGTATTTTCTTTAATTACCATTATTATTATAATAATTATTTTAATTTTATTTCAATTATTAAATTGTTTTTATCTCAACCTGTGAGTCTCCTTACCTTTACCCCTCTAATGCTCTTCCCCATTCCCCAGGGCGAGGGAGAGTGAGTGAGTGGCTGTGCGGTGTTTGGCTGCTGACTGGTTTTAAACCACCACAGTGTTAGAAGTAGATTAAAGATCAGTACCTTATAGACACTGGTTACATTACTCATTGCCTGCTTCTACTGCCAGCTGAGTAAGCTGCAAAGCTCGCACTGACAAAATATTGGCACCTATAATGTCTTTTATTGAGCAGAGTATACAACTATGCAAGGGGCTTAATACTGCATAGCATTAGAACTGATCAGGATATAATAGTTTTTTTAATTTACTTTCATTAATTGGACTGGGAACTTGAACGTACATGACATGATTAACCTGGTATAGGACATGTCCTGCTACAGCATTTCAGATGGAGTTCTCTGACTCCATAGCGAACACTGAAAAGAAGTACCATTTGTTTGAATAATAAAACTTGCATTCTGTTATTGTAACAGTGCTTATATTTGACATAAACAAAATTTAAAGAGAAACCGAGCAACTGATACTCTGAAGAAATCTGATTGGAAGAGTTTATTCAAGTCAAGAGCTAAATTACACGGTGGCTTCTCAGATATAGGTGGATGTTCTCACCCTTTGCTGCCCAAACTTGCTTAGCCCTGTGGAATCCAAACAACATTATATCTTCAGCTGTGGAAGAACTAGGAGGATGAAACTCAAAACAAATGTAAGTCAAGTAGTAGGTTGACTATATAATATCAAAGCAATCTAAATGATGCAAGCACAGTTATAGCTACATGTAACTATTACATATAATAATTAGTTTAATTATTTGATATTTTGTAATAAATAGTTAGTAGAGAAACATTTCCTGTTCTTTCAAACAACACATAATATTTAAATGCCAGGAGAGCAATATTTAGTTCTATGTGTAAATTCATTTTGGAAGCAAACTTTTTTATTAGTAATAAATACAAATCCTGTGAACTGTGGAAGTGTAGCTCAGAAAAAAAGCTATATGCGCTTTATCCTAGTTTTCCTGTATATATGTGTTAAATCTTATAAGCTTGCTGTATTTTTCTAAGCTGAAAAAAGCATCTCAAAATATTTACTTTTAAAGTAATCACTTTAATTTCACCTTTCTTATCTGCAAATGCTGGTTTTGACTAAATCACGCTTTATTCTTCCTGTTTGTTTAGGGCTGCCTCCTATGAGGTGAACCTCCTATAGTTTTGCTAGGTTCTTGCATTAATACACTCAACTATAGATTAGAAAAAGTGCAAATCAGTATGCATCAAAGGAACAATACAATCATTCATTGAAAGTGCAGGAGAAGAAAAGAATAATTAGAAAAACATTTATATATCTTACTGACAAATGTCCAACCCAGATATACTCGTTTTTCTAAATATCTGCTAGGAAAGAGTAGCAATTTACAGTTCAACGAACTCCTGTGACATCACATTTGTAGAAAGTCTTAAAAGCTGTACAGTCAAACTTTCTGTATCCATTTTTTATAAATTTGTTCTTTTACATTAGAGGAACTTTAATTTTTATCAGTTAAGCTCTAAAACCAAACTATGATTAATTAAATTTATTAGAACCATACAAGTACAAGGTGCATAGCTACACTATGTATTCTTTGGTTTTACTTTAGCTTTAGTTTATTTCACTATAAAAGTGTATTTTTTCCAAGCATTGCTCAATTTGGATATGTAAAGGCAATGGTGAATTACAATTAGTTCTGATCAAGTTGGTTAAGATCAACTAAACATTTTTTCTCAAAATTTTATCATCAATACACAGCTGTTTTTTACAGGAAACTGTAAACCTTAAGAAACATATAGCCTGATTAAAACCCTTGATGGTAGGATTAACTTAATTGGGGTATTTAAGTGAAAGTTGGGAACTTGTCTCCCTGTGGTCTTGCTATGGTCATCTCTTAAGAATTAATCAGTGCATAAATCTTAAAACTCATCAGGTTTTAAAATTTTCCCTTTCTTTTATTTGTCATTTTTTCCCCCTTATCTTGTCTTTAACTTTCTTCTCTTTCCTGTCTCCCAGCTGATTTTCACCTTACTTCACACTCTCATAGTCCATGTTTGAAGAAACATGTTACAGTCATTTAAGGTATAACTTTTAAAACTAGGGAGTCTGGCATTCTGCTCTCTGTGCTGTGATCGCTCCTTTCTACCATTTCATCCCTGTTCCAATTTAGTACGCACATTTCTAGTCAAACACTTGTAGGTGTATCGAAAGACTGGCTTCTATTTAATGAATTCCAGGTTTTGGCACCAGTATTGTCACCAGTGCCAGTAACATTTTCATTCTTTCAGTTTCCGAGTTTTCTATGAAACCTCTCCAAAGTCTGTCTTTTCAACAAATATAAATATTTTTTTTTTTATTTTAAAATATCTGGAAAGATGCATGGAAAAATTGCAGTCAGGCATATAACATATTCACTTATAAGACATTAGCATATATCCATGCTCTCTCATATGCTTTGAACCCACTTGAGGAGTAGAAGAGAATGAGATCTAACTTTATTCCACATCTTGAAATGATAGACATAGTCTAAACTTGCCATTGTAGCACAATATTATTACTGTCTGCGTATTGAATAATGTTACAGTGGTTTACTTTTATACATTCCACATTCCTACCTGTGATTATCTTTGCAAAAAAACCCTGTTCTTTTGAATATAAGACTTTGGCAATTTGAATTATTTCCAGTGCTGCAGAGGACTATATCTCTGGAACCAAGAGGCAAGAGGCAAAAAGGAAATTTGTACTAAAGTTAAATATAAACAATCTAGAAGAAATAATATCTTGTAATGTTACTTTTTGTGAAGATGTTTTGAGTCACAAAGGACTCATTTTTTTACTGTCATTTAAATACTTAACTTTATATTCATTAGTAAGTACTTAGTGAATAAAATATTGCTCGTGGTTATTATTTTGTGGAAAATACTGAAAAGAGTAAAGTGTGTTTGAGCATATGTATGTAAAGAATCATTAAGCTGCCATTCAAAAAGAAAAAAGATGAAGTTGTGAATATTATGTAGTTTTGCAGAGTAGTTCTAGGAGAGAAAATTATTTGCAATTGAATTTCTGTTGAGGACTGGGATCTTATTTGACTGAAATAATAGTCATGAATTAGATTTTCTTCTTGTTAAAGAGAATGTGGCGTATTCTGTAGCATTCCTCAGCAAACTTAGCTTTGATATGGATCAATTTATGGCTTAATAATTAAATAATTAATAAGTAATTAATAATTAATATAAGAGGTGAGGAATGGCTGAGGGTTTCAATAGAAGTAGAAGAATGGAAAACAGTTCAGAGCTATCATGAAGCAAGAATTGGCAGGATTTGCTGTCAAGCCACTGAGTGGATGAATAAATAGGATATCAAAGTTAAGAACTGTGATAAAGAAAAGGATGGTGGAGATGGGAAATAACATGTTATACAATGTAGCTGATGCGCTTTTACCATGTAGAGATTCACTTTGTGACTGAGCATTCAATTATAGATGTCAGAAAAACAACCGCAGGGTGAAGAAGAGAAATCATATCCAAAATGTAATTTAGATAGTTGCTGAAGTAGTGATGGGAGTAAGAATAATAAGAGCAAGTGAAGTCAGCCTGCCTACTTTTCTGAGGCAGAAGGGAATTTAGAGAGTTTCCATGTTTGTGTGCCCTGCTGTCCCGTGCACTCTCTCTCCCCTTATCCCGTGACTGCTGACTCCTTTCACACTGTGACTTGTCTTTACTCTAAGCTGTGACTGAGCACCAACATAGACCAAGTAAAGAGCTTGGGTGAATGGCATCCTGAGGGGATGGTGGCTTTCAGAAGGGCCACCTGAGGTCATCTAGGCTCAGTGTGGTGTCACTGGGACAACTCCGACCAGCTGAGTAGATGTGGGCTATTCTCAGTGCCTTGTGTTGTTGATACCAGCTGCCTCTGTGGACTGAGGCAGTCATTGCATGCCATCACTATTCTCTAGGTCCTCTTTGTATTTGAAATACAGAATTGAACAATAGACTTGAGATCTGATGTTCTTTTTTTTTAATACCCAGCTGTTCCAGTGAAGTTCTTCAAAATATCTGCTAGATCTAGCAAAGGTGTCAGAAGGTTCTACATTGATCCAGAGAAAACGTAGTTTTGCTCTTGAAGCAATTCTCTCACTAAGCTGAATGTTCTCTGTTGGAAATACTGTTGTAACCAGAAAGTGAAATCTTAGCATGTAAAAATGTTATAATAAATGTTTCTTTTTTCTAGATTAAAATAGGAATCACAGTTTTCATGAAGTGACCGTACGTATCAGAGGGATGTGTGGGATACCAAATGATGATAAGAAGTTTGGATAGAAGAGTGCTGGACAAACAGATGGTTTTCTGTGAAAACCCAAGAAAGAACCTTACCTTTAAAACTGTTATTCTACTTATGTAACATGAAGCACAGCCCAACTTCACTAAAAATTACATAAAAGCTGTGGAGGACCAAATAGGGAAAAAAGTGTAATCTTAAATGATGATTGACCAGGGCTTTTTCTTGTTGAAGTAAAATGTAGCTGGTTACCAATTCCAGAGCTGTGCGGCAATAGTGGTTACAAAGTGCATCAAAGTCAGAGTTTGTCGTCTCCTTGCTGCCTTAAAAATATGCATCAGAGAAATGGTTAAAATATTTTTATGAATTATCATTTAAAATGGATATGCCCTTGCATAGAACAGAACTAATGATTTCCCTATTTCCACACAGCCGAGGCAATGAGAATAGACTAGCACTACGACGACAGACCATTCTCCGGGAGAAGGGGAGGAGGCAGGCCAGTCGAGGGCCAGCGTATATGTTTAATGACCACTCAACAAGTCTTTCTCTTGAGGAGGAGCGCTTTTTGGATGCAGCAGAATATGGAAATATTCCAGTGATTCGCAAAATGCTGGAAGAATGTCCCTCACTCAATGTGAACTGTGTGGACTATATGGGGCAGAACGCTTTGCAGCTGGCAGTTGCCAATGAGCACCTGGAGATCACAGAACTTCTGCTGAAGAAGGAGAACCTCTCTCGGGTTGGGGATGCCTTGCTTTTGGCTATTAGCAAAGGTTATGTTCGGATAGTGGAAGCTATCCTAAACCACCCTGCATTTGCTGAAGGCAAGAGGCTTGCATTGAGCCCTAGCCAGTCGGAGCTCCAGCACGATGACTTCTATGCGTACGATGAAGATGGCACACGGTTTTCCCATGATGTTACACCGATCATTCTGGCTGCACACTGCCATGAATATGAGATTGTCCACACTCTGCTGAGAAAAGGAGCTCGGATCGATAGGCCGCATGACTATTTCTGCAAGTGCAGTGAATGCAATCAGAAGCAAAAGCATGACTCTTTCAGCCATTCGAGATCCAGGATCAATGCCTACAAAGGTCTGGCCAGCCCTGCTTATCTGTCTTTATCCAGTGAAGACCCTGTAATGACTGCCTTAGAGCTCAGCAATGAGCTGGCTGTGCTTGCCAACATTGAAAAAGAGTTTAAGGTGAGTAGAGACACAGAATTGCCAAGTAGGTCTTTCTCCCATTCCTTGAGCAGTAAGAGATCAGCATCATCTTCATAAATCAGCAGGATAATGTAGGAAAATATGTAATTGTTTAATGAATGGAAGATTTAAATCTTCAGGAATGTCTTAACTGCTCTGTGCTGGTTGTGATTCATGCTGCTTATGTAGCATGTGCCAGTGAAGTAATTTTCTACTTCCTATCAGGCAGGATGGTAAAGGAGGCCCTTCAAAGCCATGGGGGAAGCTGGCTTAGGATGTGGGGAAAGAGGAGAATAAAGTGGTACAGTTTGGTCATTTATGCAAGACAAATTGTATGTTTCTGTTAAACCCTCATGCATTGTCATTATTTTCTCGTAGTTGGACTGAAATCTTTCTCACTCCTCTCAATGTTTTGCATTTATTCACAAAAAGGACTCTAAGTAATAGCTTTCATTTCCTGTTTTAATGTGTTACTTTTCTCTGGTGTATCTACTCACCTCTTCCTCTTTTTTACTTATTTGTACTTAGTTATATATGAACACTGTGAAGTTAAAGTCTTTTTCAGTGTTGTATAGAATTTTTAATGTTTCACAAATGAATGATTAAAAAAAAAAAAGTTGAGACCCAAGGATTCAAGGCCCCTAAGATCCTTGAAGCATGAGTGGGTTTTTTTGTTTTGTTTTGGTTTGTTTTGTTTTTTAATGTAGATACAATGGTGCACAACCTACAAAAATATTTACCACAGTTTATTTATGTTAAGATAGTAAGAATGTAAGCTTTTTGCTCTCAGTAAATGCAAAGGCAGGTCTTGTGCAAATATTGACAGTGTTAATTATGACCTAGGTTAGCTATAATCCTTTGGACTGGGTTTACCTCATGGGAAAGCATGTGCTAATATATGATATTGCTGTGATAGAGGAAGATATGTAGACTTTGCTATCAGGAGAGCAGATTCCCTCCAAAGCAGTAACAGAATCATTTCCAACATTGTGTTAGGAATGGTTTGAAGTTGCCATGATCAGTTTTAATGTTAATCTTAGCAGCGGTACAGTTCTCAAGGCTGTGAAACTGTCTCTGCTCAGCCAACCTGAGCTGAGGTGCTGCAATTCTGAGTAAATTACTTGTGACTTGTGCTCATAGGTGTATCTTTGTGGCACCAATCTCTTGTAAGAAGCTGAAATATTTATTGGAGAGCCAAAAGAAGGCAAAGGAATGTGTAAGGAGAGCTTAAGAGCAGTGGCTAAACAGCTGGAATAGGAGCAGAGGAAGATTTTTATTTTATATCAGTAAGACAAAATGCTGAGAAGAGCATTTCAGCTTAATGCAGACAATGAACATCTGTCCCATGAAGTTCCTGACGGAAATTCTTAGGACTTCAGTGGACTGAGATTTTATCCACTGCTTTAATGTATAGTTCAGAGAAGAGTGTTTAAACCACACTCTTGTTTCTTTAGCAGCTGTTGAAGATGTGAACAAAAGGACTTGATTGGCTTAAAGGGGAGTAAATTTAGAACAGAACAGAAAAACATTTTTCATACACCATAAATGTTGCCTGTTAAGTTCACAGCTCTGTTGAGATAAATAGCATGTCTCATTTGTAGGGGCTGTATAGCTCCATTTACCGCAGTTGGAGTGACACAAACTAAAATTATTGTAAAGATAAATACAATCATCATCTGAACAGTCAGCAAGAAGTCGCCTTCAGATGTATGCTCCAGTACACAACCGGTGAGATGAACTGGGACCACAGTATTTGTCCGTGGTGCCACCAGGGCAGGGAATGGAGCACATGGTTGAGAAAAGGTGGGGTGGTTCAGAGCAGGCTTCTGCAGCCTGCCCTGGAGCACCATGAGTGTAACCTGGCTCATCTCTGAGTGACTTCTAGGTTTTTAGTTCCAATTTTGTCTCAGTTTCCTTCTCTAAAATTAGAGCTCTACTTCCAGTTCACTGCAGCAGAGATTTTGAGGTACTGTCCCTCAGCAGAAACAGGAGGCAAGACAGAGCAGCTCCATATTGCTGGGTGTTGATCAGCCACACTCTGCTGGGGACATGCATACTCTAAAGAGTAGAGGGAAGGTGAAATTTAACTCTGCCTTAATTTAAGGTTTTGCCAGGAGTGGGTGACTGGCAACATAAGGTCTTTCGGGAATGTTTTTGTAGGTGCTAAAATCATGTGGTGGCTCTGGATAAATATTAAAGACCATGGAGTATATTTATACATGCATTGACAAGAGTTAACATTTACACTATTGATAAGTGATAACATTTATGGTATCTAGGCAGGCTGGGGGTTTGGCTGAGAAATACCTAGCTTAGGTTCAGTGCAGGCAGTACAAAGGTTGTGTGTACAAGTTGCAGGAAACGGACACTGTTGTCTTTGCCCAGTCTGGGCTTGCTTGTGCTCCTACAAGCTCATAGCTCTGCTTGGAGCAATTTATCTAACAATTATTACCCTTACTTTATTTCAGGAGTTTGCTACAATTATTAGGATAGTGTAGCCCCTGCATAAAAATGTGGTTTTATTAAAAATGTCTTACACGTGTTAGAATAATCAAACCAGGTGTATTTTTAGTGCGTAGATTAGCTGGTCATGACAAATCTTTAGCTCCACCTAGAGTTTGCCTGAGCCATTTAAAGTATTTCAAACCTTACCTAAATTAAAATTGAACTTTCTGGTAATACACTATTTTAAGTCACCTATTTTATAGTACTGATGGTGCATTTTTGCAAGTGAGCTTCCTAGTGGGTGCCTATAACAACCAGTGGCACGGATAATTCCCAGGTCGTCTTCAGAGGCAATGGAAAAAGTTAATGCTCAGCTGTGATGCTGGTTGTTCCATGACTATCTTATAAGTTACTTCTCTTTCCTGTCTTACACCATCAGGTAATGTTAGAGATAACACCAACCATGAAGATGATTCACGCAAAATAGGAAATGCCATAATTAGTGGAAACTACTATTCTCTGGAATAAACTCCTTTCTTTGCTTCAAACCTCTGTAGCAGTATCACCCAGCGTTACATGCCTGTTGCATTTGGTTACAGATACTGTTTTCACAAGTGTTTTGGAGGATCATTCTTTATTAGCAGTAAATCCAGAAAAAAATTGAAGATGATTTCCAAAGGAAGACTAACTGGACAGATGTGTCAAGCACAGCATAGAAATATTTCTGTAACTAGCAAACATCTAATTCAGGCTTCCTGAGTAATTCTGAGATCTTCAGGACTTTCTGAACACCATTTAATTTAGCTCTTTATGACATGGCTAAGAGTGCAGCTTTACAAGATATGATGTTATACAGAATATTAGTATTTTGGGTGATAGTGCTCATATTTTCTGTCATCTAATTTGTATGCCCACCCTAGAGCTAATATCTCTTCTATGTTTATAAGGATGTAGGTGATATCTGACAAATGTCTTGCAGAGATATGGCCTGGAGTCGTGAGAGGGACAGCTGTGGCCCAGTGCTGTTCAAAATGGATAAGATTTGCATTTAGTACAAAGTTCACTGCAGCTTTAATGGCAACGGACTGTTTTATTGTTTAATGGAATGGATTGGAAAATGTATTTTTAAATTAAACATAGATGTATTACTGTTTGCTGTAAATTAATACCCCTAACACAAGGTTGTCTGAGTTTGCTTTTCTGATGAGAAGCAAAATTCAATTTATCTTCTCATCTTCTGTTTGTTTTCATTTATACAACCCCCATTACAGAAATCAGACACCAATCTTCGTTATGGGTATTGTCAGCTCTCTTAAAGAAAAGTTAACCACCTTTTAGAGAAGGAGAGCTGAGGCACTGAAGGAATAAGGGCCACCTTTGTAAGGGGAATAATGTGTTTACCTACCTACCAAGATGCCTAAATTCAACATTTAGGTCCCACTTATGTTCACAAGGTACTTTGAAATCCTAAACCCTCACAAAGCAGTACCCGTGTTTCTGGACTTGGTCTCTATAGTTGACTAAGCGGGGCCAGGACGTGGTCTGGAGCACTGCTCCTTCTCATCAGGGTTCAGTGTCAGCCTGTGTCCTGAGAGCATTTTCATCCCAGGCACAGTCTGGGGGACAGCAAGAGCCTGTCACAGGAGGCTGCGTGAACTCCTCTGTCTTCTGGGCCGTGCTGATGCTCTCCAACTCTCCTGGCCATGCTCTCCTGCTTGCATGGTCAGAGATAAGACAAATCATGGTCAGCTGAGGTTTTCAGCATGACCGTGGCCTGCTTGCTCCCTTACCCAGGACACCAAAACAGTATGTGGCTGCTCCCACCATGAAGAGCAGGCGACCCCTCTCAGCAGCAGCCACTGTCACCCCCAGCCCTCCTGTCATTCCTCTGCCACCAGCATCTTTTTCCTCTGGTTCCTCACCCCCCACAGTGCTCACCCCAAATCATCACCTTCCTTTTGCAGGGTGGGAGCATCCAGTGCTGCCCTCTCATCCTTGGTGTGACAAAATTTGGCAAAATTGCGTTTTTCCTAAACTGCTGAGGAGCCCTGAAGCAATGTTGTCACATGTGTAAAGAAAGCACATGCTTGCTTTATTGCAGAATTAAGGGCTGATTCTTTTTAAAGCCTCCAACTGTAATTTAATTGCTAACTACCTTCTCAAGTCTCCCAAGAGTGCTTTTTTAATTCATTAAGTTTATAATTTTCAGTAAAGGAGAACTCATGGAATTATCCATGTGCCTTTGGCCATTTAAAAATATAAATTGAGCCAAACAAATTACCACATTCCCTTGGCTCACATTAGTGGTAAGAGACATGTGAGACTCTGGGGGAGAGTGAACTTTCTGTGCATGTGTGACAGCAAGACACTGAGACAGCGTGAAGAGTGTATTAATAATTTTTGCTGTCACTACACATTTAAGTAGACCAAGGAGACAAGGGGCAAGAGGCAGCATGTGCAGTAGTCTCTGCAAGTTAACACAATTTCTTAGAAACAAAGCTGCTGGGCTAGAGCTACCTGCCCTGTGTTCAGACCCAGACAAATCTTCCTGTAACAGTTTAAGACATTATCATCTCATCTGTCCTCCATAACCTTCCCTGAAAGAATAAATTTTTCATAAGGGAATGCATCTCAAGACATCAAACTGTGAACGGGAGCAGGGACGTGCATTGCCTTCAGCAGTTTCTGCTGTGTTACAACCACCCTGTGCCGTGGCTGGGGTGCAGGTGGCAATGCTGGGTGCTGCTCAGGTCCCCAAAGCTTGTTTGCTGTAACCTGACCACCAAGGACATCTCAGCCCAGCTACTACCTCTGATCACAGCTGTGGCTGTATTTCACAGGAAGGGAAGCTGGTTTACTGCATTTGCAAATGAGAAAAGAAACTGATGGAGTTTATGGATGAGTTTACTGGGTGCTAATATATCCTGTGATACTGTGTACAAACCTAAATTCAGAAGGGATAATTCTGCAAAGTGTGAGTGGAGGTATCTGGCTATTTTTAAAAGTGCCCATTCAATATTCATTTTGGTAAATAGGACCACACTCAGAAAAAAATCATAATCTACATTAGAATAAATTATCCTATATGATTTTTGGTTTGAGACTACCCAAAGGCATTGGACTCCACCATGGATTAATGGTCTCCTCACATACTGTTTTGAAAGCCCATGTCATGTCTTAGTCACCAGAGGTGGAAAATACTGATGAAGGAGGTGTGTGAGTGTGCATATATATATGTATCTTCTACCAGAAAATATGCACATACTAATATATTACAAATATATTACAATATTTTTGCAGTATTTGTGAAGGTAAAATTATTGTGTTCCTAAATTTATTGAAAACTACTCCTTTTTTCATTTCATGTTTTAAGGGTGATATTCAAGGTCATTTGGAACAATTCATGGTACCTAATCATACAAAGATGCATAAGCTGACTCCATGTTTTTCCTTTGTGAATCTCAAATGACTACTTTGCCTTTCATTTTGAAGAGGACATTTATTTATTAAAATGATTGATTACTGAATCTTATCTTAGCTGCTGCTGCAAAAATGAAAGCCAAACAGAAGGTGATATATTACTCTCAAAAAATGTCTTTCTGTAGTGCCAAGAAGGCAGGATTTTGGTTAATCTCTCGTTATACTTCTGAAGAGTCAGAAAATAAATAATATAATAAAATACACAGCATGTCATGAAATGGTTAGTTTTAGTATTTGGCTTCTGTTGCCTTTGTAGAGAAATGACGTTAAAGTTTCTTCTCTTTTATGACAGATCTGATCTGTCTTCCTTACATTATTAAAAAAATAAATCACCAGCAGTTTTATGTAGACATATAATAGTGTCTATAACCGTTTGTCTATGAATGTTTGCATCCGTCTAAGTAAAGTGAAATGTAAAACTTGGATGCAATCCTTTAATATATCCAAATAATAAACTGGTATTGTGGTGCTGGGGTTAATAAAACATAAACATGCATGAAGTACACCTCAGCAAATAAATTAGGACATTCTGTATACTCAAAGTAATGGTTTCTCTTCCAGGGTGTGCATTAGATGGCAGTTAGTACGGAGGAAGTAATTAAAAGGAAGTGACTAAAGAGACTAAGAGTGGAAGAAGGGGAAAATCTATGAAGAACAGACCAGAAGAGGGGGAAATGGATCACTGTAATAAAAGCATTCATAGAAAGTTACTTTGAATATGAAATAGAGACCATATAAGCAGTCCTGTATGGTGTGGGTTGGCTGGAATATTTTCATTCTTTTGGGAAAAATTCTACAGTAATTTCATCTTTTTAAGACATTAAAATTAGCAGAGATCACAAAAATATCAGATGTTGTTGACACATGTATGAGTAAATCTCTTGTAAGACCTGGGCCAGGGACAATGTATCTGTACACATTTTTTAGCTTTAGATATACATCTGTTTATCCATCTAATTCCCTATCTGTCAGACATATTCATCTTTTATGTCCCAAACACAGCTGCAAGTAAGGAATGGTTAAAGAACTGTGGATTATAGTGATCAAAGTATCTTTTTCTGGTTTGATTTAATGCCTTGAAGAAAACAGTAACTGAGAAGAATATTTGGTAGTTAAAGCAATCGGCAACTGAACCTGCAGTTGTAAAGCAACATTTTGGCTCACATGGCAAAGTCTGTCATGAGATCTTTGAGCTAAAGAGCACTGAGAGTTGGAGATGTGGTATTACCATGCTATCTGTAGCACTGCTGACACTGCTGGAAAACGGCAATCAAATCTTGTGTTTGCAAGCTAAAAGAGATGTTGGAAAATGAGAAAGATAAGGTTTACAAGAATAATTCAAGACCTAAGAAAATTCAGTATATTTCGGTAGTTTTCCAGAAGGTTGGGAAGTTGTTTAGACGTGTTCTCTCTAGGATACTAATCTTGTCCAACTGAGATCTCTACATTGTAACTCTCTACATCTGAGCTACTTATCTAGACTTCTGTGACAGTCAGTGAATAGAAAATTTCACCCTGTGCTATTCATCTTAACTGGAAATAGTCATTAAAATATGTCATACAATATTTCTGAAAGCGTTTTTTTTTAACTTTCAGTTGACTCTAAGGAAAGTCTAGAGAAGTAACTCAGGTGTAAAAGTTGTTAATGCTATAGATGTCCAAGGTAATCAAGGTGAGACGAATCCCACACTTTGAACATTCAGGGGAAGTAGATGACTGATAACAAAGTGCTGTTAATATACCAGAAAAAAAACCATGACAAGATACATACTATTGATGCTCACATATGTGTAGCTGGGGTATAGAACTTTTCTTTCGTGTTAGGTTTAAACAGCAAGTTATATTTCTTCTTTTCTTTTTCTAGAACGATTACAAGAAATTGTCTATGCAATGCAAGGATTTTGTAGTTGGACTCCTTGATTTGTGCAGAAATACAGAAGAAGTGGAAGCTATTTTGAATGGTGATGTAGAGATGAGCCATAATAATGGAGAACATGGTCGCCCCAGCCTTAGCCGCTTAAAACTCGCCATTAAGTATGAAGTTAAGAAAGTAAGCAGTTATGTTGATCAAATAGACATGTCATGATAGTGGTATTAAATTGTGCTATTATTGAATGTTTATGTTTTGGTAGCCTATGATCCTTAAATAAACATTTTGGCACTTCTGCACAGTGTACTTTACCAACAAAAGTATGCTTGCCCCAAATAGCTTGCAATAAAACAAACAGCAGATATTCAGGGTGGATACCAGTCACAGTGTGTATAAGGACAAATGACTCTATAAAATGTGTACCTATATGCAAAATTTGCAGATATTTACTTCGGTTAGGTTTATTCTGTTTTGGTTTTTTGTGGTTTTTTTTTTGTTGTTGTTGTTGTTTTTTTGGTTTGGTTTTTTTTTTTTAAGAAGAGGGAAGAAACTTGCACTACTGTGGCCTGGAAAAGTATAAGATGTAATAAAAACCAGAGGATAGCGCAGCAGTCCTTTGCACTGCATGATAACAAATATGGATACACATTTTTTCAAGCTGTTGTGTCTTAGTCAGAAAGTTGAGAAAACTTAGTGAAATTGCATGTCTCCCAGAAAATTTGTATTTGTTTGTACAGATGATCAGAGACACAGTCTAGGAGTCATAGTTCTGTGGTTCTCACTTTTGAAGAACAGCAGGCTCCAGGCAGTGTTGAATATACAGGGGTTATCATCCCTTCTTCGGCTTAGTTTCATTTCTACTATCAGTTTAATACTCTAGTCTGCATCTGAAAAGTGCTCAAGGAACAAGGAAGAAATTATTTATGTGATGAAGTTTGTACAACTCAAGGTCAGGAAGATACCTCTCAGGGATATACTTTGAAAGCAGAGCAGGTTACCCTAAAGTAGAGCTATTTCCTGACAGAGCAGCAAGACCTTTGATTTAACTTTCCCTACATAATGAAATGGATCAGATGGATCAGATCACTGTGAAAATAAACAATGTTTTATTTACAACCCCCCCACCCCCCAAAAAAAAACCCTCACAGGGAGTCAAGACTTAAAAATGCAGTGTGAACTGAACAAACAGATTAATACATTAGAAGAGTTGTAGATTTTTTACAAAAATCGACTTGACATCTCTGGAGGACACTTAAAACATTTATATGTGAGGAGATTTTATGTGTTCATGAAGGGAAGAAAAGAAAAAAAATATTTTGACTGAATAGCACCTACCAGCATATGAATGCAAACCTGCAAAACACTTGGCAAGGTATGACCGCTAAAGAGAGCTGAAACAACTTTTGAAGAAAAGATACCACATTGACTTTGTCCTTCATAGTATTTGAGTCCTAATTCTTGCTTAAAGTAAACTTTCTGTCAACACTTTCTCTTGCCCGAATAACGACATTTCTTGCACTTTCAGCCAGTCATATACAGAACTATTCCAGAAGAAAAAATACTAGATTCAGTTAAATTTTTAATTGTATTTCCAGGTCTAGACTTAAAAATTTACAGTGTGCAAGAATCCACTGTATGTGAATATCTGCCTTTGTATGATGCTTCTTATACTCTCTAGAGGTTTTGACAGAAATCAGGGTTATAGACCAAACTTGTCCGTTTTTCAGAGTTTGTCCAAAAGATTCCAGAACCAAGTTATAAATAGTCCTTATCTAATTTCCTGCAAAAGTGACAGCTTTTTTCTTATGACAGCTGAAAAAAAAAAAAAACAAAACCAAGTATTTTCCATGTTAGCATGTGAAAAATACGGCATATTCTTTCTGTCATAACTAAAGGCTGTATAACGACCTTTGCAGAAGAAAGACTTGAAGTTTTAAAATTTCTGAAGTAGTAGCGTGAAAGTTATAAATGTCAGAAGCAAGAAGAGTTTACCTGGATAAAGTTTGTGTTTAATTACCCTTAGATGAAAATGAATAGTTTGTGATGGAACACGGTGTCAATAAAATAATAGGGTTTTTTAATTAAAGGATTTATTGTTGCTGATAGCAACATGCCTGCATACTGGGAGATTATGCTCACCAAACAACTTTTTCTTATACCCTTGTTAATGCTTCTTTGAATATAAGCTGAGTTGTTGCTGTTCCAACATTCTTAATGTGCTTCATATAGCTGTTATTTTAAGAAAAGATATTCTGATAGCAGTATTCTTTTCGTGCTCCTTTTCTTTGTTACAGTTTGTGGCACATCCAAACTGCCAGCAACAGCTTCTCTCAATCTGGTATGAGAATTTGTCAGGTTTACGACAGCAGACCATGGCAGTGAAGTTTCTGGTTGTTCTTGCTGTTGCGGTGGGACTGCCATTCCTCTCGATGGCTTACTGGATTGCTCCTTGCAGTAAGGTCAGTCTGTCAAATCTTGTAATGGCCTTTTATTAATTCCTGTATCATCTGTATGTAGATTCCTGTTTGGCAAAGATGAAGCATGAGTATAAATTACTGTCATGTTTAAATAATACTTCATAAAGGTGTTATTTTAAAGTTGAGTTAGGATGGAATGGTGTCCTGGTTCAGCCAGGATAAAGTTTTCCCCAGCAGAGAGAGAGGGGGAAGGGATCTCCAGCCGGGTTATTCATACCATGCTGACGTCAGGTCCAGGGGCGGAGCCTTTTTCCTTTCACTTCTGGTGTTGGTTTTTGCCATACACGCGGCGGGTTTGCTCCTTGATCATTTAGCGGTATTTCTCTGTATATCTTTTGGCTTGTTCACTGTTATTGCTGTTTATTGTTGTGACTATTGATACTGTTGTTATTCAGATTGTTTTATCACTCTGTTGTATTAAATTTCTTGTTATTTTAGCCGGGGTCTGTGTCTAACTTCCAGCCCGACCGACGCGGGTAGGGGAGGGGCAATGGCAACACGCTCTCTCATCCCGGCAAGGGTTAAACCTTGCACAAATGGCTGCAGGATTGCGTGTTCTGGCAATTGTAAGAAAGACAGGCAAATGTATTGTGTTAAATGCAATGTACATGAAATTACAATGGTTGAGCAATAGTTGCCTTATAGAAATTAATACTTTGAAACAATATGTCAGACTATTTCATTCTTACCTTTGTAGGCAGATGCAGAGGACCCTCATTTCCCACTGATTCAGAACAAGACTAAGTTCAAGCTGTGGGTTGATTCTAATTACCTCAAAGGCAATTTTATTTTTGATGCTTAAATGTTAATAAATAAAAGTCACTGAAACACAAATGCCAGAAATTAAGTCATCATTAGTTTTCTAGAAATCAAAGTGAACTGTGTTGGCTCATTATATTCCATGAGGTTTTTAAAGCAGTCACTCAGCCTCCCCTGCATCCATTTATAATGCACTGTCTGGATTTGGATGCTGCCACTGTATCTGTTTTGGATGATACATAGTATGGAAAACCTTTCCACTGAAGATGGGTTACAGTTTCTGACCCATCTGAACTTAGTGTTGAATCTCTGTTTTAGCTGGTCACTATCTGTTTTAAATGGACACCAATGGAAAATTTCCCTTGAGAGTATGTTAGAGGGAACAAATTGGATCCTGTAAGAATTACTCAACAGGTTACAGTATAACATCCATGATTTTAGCAGGTTGAATCTTGTGCACATGCAGTGATTCCGGGGGAAGAGGAAGGTTGAAGGAGAGGACTGAGATCTTTGTGGGGTTTTTTTTTGGTTTTTAATTGGTGGGTCTTTTTTGTTTTGCCATATTTTTAAATTGTTTCAGTCTGGACAGTAAAAGTCAGTTATATATTTTTCACTTTTCTGTATAATGACTAGGATTTTTATGAATATTTTTGTCTTAAAACACACCTTGAGATTCAACAAACTTCTGCAATTGGCTTTCAACTATAGCAGTGACTTATCTATTTGTCATTTTCCTTGTTCAATGATTTATTGGATCTAAGTAATTTTGAACGGTTGTACATTCTGAAAAAGCTATTTCAGAGTAGCTTCTTAACATTCAAGGGACAACATCCTTTAAGATTTCACTTCCTCTGTTGCTATTGAATAGTCTCATCATGTGATTTATGTGATGAATGCTTTCTGTTTCATTATATTCTGCAGATGTAAAATCTAATCCACCTTTTTCACCAGTTGCCATTTCTTACATTGTGCCTCACTCATACTTCAAACTCTGATTCTTCTGGTTTTTGAAGACAAGATGTTCATTGTTTAATTTCAGGATAGGGTAGTTCCAATACAGAAAATTATCTGTATCAACAGAGTCCATTCTGTGTGTGAATTGATGGAATTTTATAAATCTTCTTGTCCTACTGAGATAAAGTACCCATTCTTTTTTTCAGGCTTGGAACTGTAGGTGACAGAAAAGAGGGAAAGTACTCAGAGTATTTGTAGTGAAAATAACAGCTTGCAGTGGAGTTATTCTAACGCATTTCTTTATATTCTCATGCCATGGCTCTGAGAAAGGCAAAAATGTCTTTATGATATTTGCAAGATTTCAGTCAGTTACCTGTATAGCTGACCAGTTTCCTCTTTAGGAAAAAGTTAATTTGAGCTTGGACCACAGATACTGAATTGAGACTTTCAGATCTGGAAGAAATTTCACAGTAATACATGGATAAAGTCCTGTTGATTTAGCAGGAATCCAGTAGTGTCAGGTGCAAAAAGGAATTAAGATTGCCTCTTACCTGAATTTCTGCCACCAGTCTGCATGGAGGGACTTCAGAGTTTTGCGAACTGTTTGCTCTGCATTTCTAATTGGTAATTCCGTGTCACTACTGGCATGATTAACCCAAAACTTGTAGAATACTATCTTATTACATGATATTTTGAAAGAGTAAAAACTTCTTTTCAGTTATCTCCAAGAATCTAATATCTGTGTTGTTCAGCTGTAATTAATAATAGAATTTAGATTGTTAGCTTTATGAATTCATAAGTAATTCAGTCAGCCCTTGGCCAAGATGAGGGCTCTGAATTTGAAATTGAGTCTTCTTTTGCTGTTACCAGCCACCTGGGGTTGGCATTTCTGAAGAAGTAACTTGATAATTCCCTGCGTGCTTTCTAGAAGCATGTTCTGAGGGCTATACACATTCCTCTTTTGCGCTGTGGTAGAGGAGAAGAAATTGAACATTATGCCCAATAGATGAGGAGCCAGGAAATTGTTCTTCCTACAAAAGTATACTCATTCTCTCTTTTTTGTTATCAGGCCTTTTCTCCTTTGTGATAGATGTGCTACCCGGACTCCTGTTATATCATTTCTTTATCAATGCCGTAATGTTACAATAGTGATTGTTTCTGCAGAGTTACAAAGAGGGAATAATGTGAATCACTGACTCCAGTCCCCAGCGATTTCAGGTGACCTTATATAAAGACAAATACATGTCAAAGTGTCCACAGTATGACTACTGTATATCTTGTCCTAACCAAAACCAACCTATAAAACACCGCAGAACTCTATCGCAAACCAAAGACCATAGCACAGAGGGTCAGGGACCAGAAGAAAACTCAAAACAAAACCCCAAACTAAAACCACTTAAATTACATAAAGGGATTCAGAGCATTTAGAAGATCATGTCTTCAGTTTCTGCAACAGGAAGGAATTTTTAATGTCAAAATGCACAGTCAAAGTTATTAAGGAGGGACTCTAGCTTATAGAAATGCCTAAACTTTCAAGATTATGGCCTTGTCTTTACATGTTGCTCTTTCTGTCCCTGATTTGTATTTTCTGACCTACAGCTTCTCCATAAAGATATTCAGAATTTTAGAAGTGTCATTTCATGATTTTATTGGATCACTGTTACATGGCAATGTCATTATGACTTCAAGTATTTGTGTAATCAGTTCAACTGTAGTCACTCTTGCTTCCAGGGAGATTTTGCTATGTATATGTAAAAAATACTTTTCTGTCTTTTTTTGAAGGGGTGGGAGGGGGGATGCTCTGAGTTTGGTCTACTGTATTTTATATTTTTTGATCAAAGGATATATTAACATTACTTCCTTCAGCATTATTTCTTCTTTTCTGGCTATGTCTGTTTCTGGCATCTGTCTCCTAACCCATCTTTGTTTCTGAACATAAGAATAATGCCTTTAAAATGACACAGTCAAGGTACTTTATAATTTTCCAGATCTACTTTATTGTGTGTTGCTTATGACTGTTCCTTCCTAACTTGAAATAAAATCTTTCTCCGTGATGATAACCTATTGTCTTTATAGTTCACCCAAAATAACTGGTTGTTGAAGTTCATCTCATGAGACTGACAGAATATTTTATTTAATAAAATATAAATTAATTTTATTGAGTAAAAAACATAACAAATGGCATGGGTTTGCAAAATAATATAAAGAAGAAAGGAAACCAAATTTTGTGCCCTGCTAAACTTGACAGTGTTCCTTTAGCAGTATCCTCTTTTTACATTGGTGTAGTTTTCTTAATGTTATCTGTATCTGAGACTTTACCATTGCATCCTCTTATTCTGTGTAAAAGCTGGCTGTAAGGACAACAGAATTCTGACTTTGATATTGAAACAAGTTTAGCAAAAATATCAAGACCAATAACTTATCTTTCTACTTTCCCCTCCCTTTTCCAGACCACACACTGTTATATGTTTCAGCTGAGATCCATGACACTTGCTTTCAATTATTTCCAAAGAATTTTTGTTAGATACAGATACTGTCTTAATCTAAAATAAAAAAGTTTTTTTCTGCAGCTGCCAACTAAGTGAACAAGCTAAGACTTTTACTATTAGTACAGGCACTCTCAAAAATAAATAATTGCTTAAAGTTCAGCCTTGTGTGAATTTGTATTAAACCTTTTGGTTTTTAAGTGTTGCACTAAACCATTCTAAAGTTGGTTTTAGTCATGACAAAGTTGAGGACATTTCCATTAAAGGAGTCAGGAAGGAATTTAAGACACTACACTATAATAAACATAACCTTTTGAGGCCTCATTAATTTTTTTTTTTTTTTAATAAGAAAATAAGTTGGGAAAACTGCATAATAGCTGTGCTAAACTGAGTATCACGTCAGCCAGGAAACAGAATTCTTTAGTCATAATTCACTCCTGTTGATAATGCTTTTAGTAAGTATCAAAATCCCATTTTCTTTGTTGCCTCATAAAGATGATTAGCATGTAAGAAATTTAGCAACTATAATAAATTTTTCTCTCGATTACCTCTAATAAACATAGATGTCCCCAAATAATTACAGAATTATTTCAAAACACTGAGTTAAAAATACATTTATGGTGGAACTGATAGATTATCACTCTGAAAATAGCAAATAAGTGGAAACATTTCAAGGTGACTGTCAGCATGGAGTCATAGTATAGAACTTCTTCCAAATATTTGTTCCTGTGGGTTACTGAAACATATATTTCTCTGTGTTACTGTTCTTTTTATACATTTTTATTTTGAAAGAAGGCAATGCAATATCCTTGTGTTTCATAACCTCTGTTGCAGCTGGGGAGGATAATGCGTGGACCATTTATGAAGTTTGTAGCCCATGCAGCCTCTTTCACCATTTTTCTTGGTCTACTTGTCATGAATGCAGCTGACAGATTTGATGGCACCAAACTCCGACCTAATGAAACAACAGGAAATGTAAAACAGCTCTTTAGGATGAAAACATCCTGTTTCTCATGGATGGAGATGCTCATCATTTCTTGGGTAATAGGTAAAGATTAATTTTCGATTAAATTTTTCTTGCTATGATTTCAGTGAAGCTGAACCCAATTTAATCCTTTGCTATTAATGTTATGTGTAAAAATTGCAACAAAGGGAGTTTATTAACTGGCTGCATTCCCACATTGGCCTCATGTTTCTTATTGGATGTCAGCAGGGTTCACATGTGTCTAGTTAATCACAAACATTCAGGTTAAGGACTTAGGCGAAATCCACACCATCTGAATATGAATGAATGCAGTTTTATGAATATCAAAGGAAAGTCTCTACCAGTGTTCTGGGGTTTTTTGAGTCAGGCTGTGTCAACTCCCAAGGGGAAAGATTTCCACATGATGGGCCAAGTTTTTTTGTGTCCAATTGTTTCCTTCTGCTAAGATACTTTTGCAGGTATGCCCGCAGAATTAATAGTGTACAGCTGAATGTATTATTGACAAAGAAGAAGAAGAATATAGACCCTGAATATTTAGCAGCAGATTTTTCCATCCCAACATAGGGATGAAATTAAATCTGTGAATTGTACTCTGAGCTGACCCATTCAGTTCAGTGATGCAGTGCTGTTCAGCATCAGAACTTCAGGACAGGCCTTCAAAATTATTTTAGCTGTTTGAATCTTATTTACAAGTCATAATACCATTTATTTCAATGGAGGTTAGATGCCCAAATATTTTAAGGATTTGGATTCTGGTTGTTAGTTAAGTCTATAATATGTGAGAGTTAAATTCAAGCTAAGGAAAATCTGTTTTCATTCAAGCATTTACGCGTTTAAAATATTTTGCTTTTATGAGCTCTCCGTGATTAAAATTGGAGCCATTTGCACACCAACTAATTCTTATAGATTTAAAAGACATTGTCAACATTTATTTATTTCATCGTAACGCTGTTTATAAATTAATATAAACATGTATGATAAGAATAATACGTCACTTAGATTTCCAAATATTCTATAAATATCAGTGGTTTCATCTGATAATAAAGGAGTAAATAAATTTCCTAATTTGAAGGTCTAATTAGCTAATTTAATCTATTTTTGTTATTTTGGTGTCACGTGTAAGATGGTTTATGAAAAATTGATTTGGTTCATACAGATGTAACACTGACTTATTGCTGTAATTAACATTATAATTGTCCTTATCTGAAAAGGATGAAAAGTTCCTTCAGATAATTTGATAAGGGCAAAAAATAGTGACATTATTCCAATTCAGAGTTTTATTAACTCTCTTTACAATCCTAGAAATGTAGTTTATGCTTAAATAAATTTGATCTTGAAAAGAAGAATGTTTTGCTCAATAAAAAGCATAAACTAATAAAAACCCATAAACTAATACTGTAGTTCTATATTTTATTATTAAGGGAGAATAATTAGGAATAAGAGAGATACCTTTGCCCTATTGAAGAAGCATTAGGTCTGATTCTTAACTCTCATACTCATTTGTCACATATATTTGCAATTTCAGTAAAAGAGGCTGTATCCAGGGCACTCCATAAATAAGATGTGAGTTCTGCTATTAGTTCTATCCCTGCTATATGATCATGCTAGAGCATTTCTGCTCTTTCCAGCTCTTCCTGTCTGTAACAGATCATAATACTCACATCCCATTCTTCTCTTTGAAAACTTTTGTAGTTGTACGGGAAAAAACAGTGTGAAAGATTATTATTACCCACATGAGAAAGAAGTATTGGAATGTATATGAATTGGCAGGTTCAAGGATTTTAGTTTGTGCTCAAACTCCCACTGATTAAAATTGGTTTGTTTGAGCTCAACCAAGAACATCTCCTATACATAGTAAAATATCAAATAAAATAAACATGAAGATAAAAGAACATACCGTTTTCTCTGTTATGTCTGTATACAGGTATGATATGGTCTGAATGTAAAGAAATTTGGTCTCAAGGTCCAAAGGAGTACCTTTTTGAGTTATGGAATATGCTTGATTTTGGTATGTTAGCAATTTTTGCAGCATCATTCATAGCAAGGTTTATGGCATTTTGGCATGCATCCAGAGCCCAGAACTTCGTTGATGCAAATATGAAAGATCTGACAAGTCCAACGCTGGAGCCCAACATAAAATACTACACCTTAGGTAAGTTGATTGCACATGATTAAGATTTACTTCTTGGGCCAAGATGAATTTATTTTCTGTTAATAAGTCTCCAATACTTTAGTTCCACAATGTACTGCCTAAGAAATTCCTACCCCTTTTTCTCATCCCTGCTATCTGATCACAGTTCACTTGGCTATACTCATGCATCTCTTTGAGGTCTGTTTTAGACATCAGGCACTGAAATGTTCTAAGATGAAAATAACCCCACAGTCACCCCCCCCCCTTTCAAGACTTATTTTAATCCAGGTCATTTCATCTGTTCAGTTACACAATGCTATTCTGCAAACATTTGTGTTGGCACAACTGCAAACGTGGTGTACTGTAATGCAGGGGCAGAACTAAGCAATGAGATGCAGGGATTTCTTAAACCTGCTTTGCCAACATAACCAATATATCTTTTATACATTCTTTGCTCAGAGACTCTGTTATATTATTTTAATATTTCTCAGTCCACTCTCTACCCATAAGAGAAAAATATTAATAAACTTGCTTGGCATATATGACAAGTGACTAGAAGCTATTTTGCCCAAATGAGAAAAAATTAAGCTCTGTTTACTTGTCTTCACTCTCAACACCACCACATCTCTCTTCCCTTTATTAGATATTTTTCTCTAGATAATAAATTACATCAGTTTCTATCTCTATTCCATGCGTCAAATACTATTCCTGATAAGCTTACATTTCTTCATTATCTAGGCTGTAGAAAAAGCAGAGCAATTAATATATATTCTGAAATCCATTAAATTGTAACCTTATAAATTTTACTGGAAAGCTACAAATTTCACATAAGTTATATAAGCAGCTAGTTAAATATTAATTCAGCTTTCAGTAACACCCACTTGAAGAATTTGCAAACAGGGACTGTTATTTATGTTCACAGTTTCTGGGTATGACAAGCACAAGTCTCATAACTCATTCATACTATATAGTACTGTATCATTTAGCGAGGCAGTTTCCATTGACTTTAGTCATGAGTTGTGACTTTGTAATGCACTTAAGCAAAGTCAAGCCATTTTTTAGTTTATGCAGGTACACTGATCTGCTTGGAGGACATCTACGTATAGTAGAGCTAACATGGATAATATTAATAGTGAACATTTCATGCCACAGGTTTTATTATAGGCTATCAAACACAACTTGGTGGCCACCAGGTTGAACATGAGCAGCAATGGGCCCTTGTGGCAAAGGTGGCCAGTGGTATCCTGGGCTGCACTAGGCAAAGCATTGCCAGCATGTGGAGGGAGGGATGTTGTCCTTGCCCTCTCCTCAGCACTGCTGAGGCCACACCTGGAGAATTGTGTCCATTTCTGGGCTCCTCCATACAAGAGAGACATGGACATACTGGAGAGAAGGGCCAGTGAAGGGCCATGAAGATGATGAAAGGACTGGAGCATCTCTTCTAAAAGGAAAGTCTGAGAGAGCTGGGACTGTTCAGCCTGGAGAAGAGAAGGCTTAGGAGGGATCTCATCAGTGTATACACATACCTGAAGGAAGGGTGCAAAGAGAACAGAGCCAGTGGTGCCCAGTGCCAGGACCAGTCACAATGGGCATCAACTAAAACACAGGAGATCCCTCTGGACACCAAGAAATGGTTTTTTACTTTGAGGGTGACTAAGCACTGACACAGGTTGCCCAGGGAGGTGGTGGAGTCTCCATCCTTGGAGATACTCACGTGCCATATGGACATGACCCTGAGCAACAGGTTCTAGCTGGACCTGCTGTAGCAGGAGTGCTGAACCAGATGGCCTCCAGAGGCCCCTTCCCACCTCAAGCTTTCTGTGATAATACAACTAATCTGGAAACCTAAAAGACATCTGGCAACTAGCCCATACTGAAACATCTGACATCTTTGATTTTAGTGATCCATGAAATCTAAGGTAAAGCTAGCATAGGTATGTCTGTTTATGTGAAAATGTGCAGACTTTTGCCATACAGACATTTTCTCATTTGAATATAGTGTGTAATAGGCTATACAGTGAGGAGCTCAACAAACAAAAAAATGTGCACATACCTGCAAGAAACAAAGAGCAGCTAGCAAGTCAATGAATGTGCTAACTAGCCTTGTAATACCTAAAACCAGAGTTATCCACTGCTTTGTCATGATACAGGAGTATTGATATGGCAGTAAGTTCCTTGAAGAATATTGTTTTCTGATGTATCCATTTTGAATAATGCTCAGCATCACTGGGTATTAGAAAGCTGTATAAATCGTAGACTTTTTATTAAATGAATATATGTTACTTAACATCTCAAATTACTATTTTTCCAAATGCCAGTGATTGCCTTCTTTGCACTATAATTTTTTTTCTTTCATTTTGTGGCTTTACAGCAGAGTAAACACAGATAACAACATTCTCCTGGGATGTAGGACCCATCCCAGGTAAACCTTTTCTCTCTGCCTGAAGCACAGTAGTGAATTGTATTTAAGACTTCTGAGTCATCAGAGAATACCTTAATCTCCAGCAAGGAAGTATTCATAGAATCATAGAATAGTTTGGGTTGGAAGGGACCTTGAAAGGTCATCCAGTTTCAACCTCCTGCCATGGGCAGGGACACCTTCCACTAGCCCAGGTTGCTCAAAGCCCCGTCCAACCTGGCCTTGAACACTGCCAGGGAGGGGGCAGCCACAGCTTCTCTGGGCAACCTGTGCCAATGTCTCACCACCCTTACAGGAAGTAATTTCTTCCTTATAGCTAATCTAAATCTATCATCTTTCAGTTTAAAGCCATTACCCCTCATCCTGTCTCTACAGGCCTTTGTAAAAAGTCCCTCTCCATCTTTCCTGTAGGCCCCCTTTAAGTACTGGAAGGCCACTATAAGGTCTCCACAGAGCCTTCTCTTCTTCAAGACTGAACAACTCTGACTCTCTCAGCCTGTCCTCATAGGGGTGGTGCTCCAGCCCCCTGATCATCTTCATGGCCTCCTCTGGACCTGCTCAAGCAGGTCCATGTCCTTCTTACATTGGGGGGCCCCAGAGCTGGACACAGTGCTGCAGGTGGGGTCTCACAAGAGAAGAGAGGGGGAGAATCCCCTCCCTTGACCTGTGGGCCACACTTCTTTTGATGCAGCCCAGGACATGTTTGGCTTTCTGGGCTGTGAGCGCACATTGCAGGCTCATGGTCAGTTTTCCATCCACTAATACCCCCAAGTCCTTCTCCGGAGGGCTGCTCTCAATCCATGCCCTGCCCAGCCTGTATTTGTGCATGGGATTGCTCCAAACCCACGTGCAGGACTTTGCACTTGGCCTTGTTGAACTTCATGAGGTTTGCACAGACCCACCTCTGAAGCCTGTCAAGGTCCCTCTGGATGGCACATCCCTTCACCCCAGCGTGTCAACTGCACCATGCAGCCTGGTGTCATTGGCAAACTTGCTGAGGGTGCACTCAATCCCACTGTCCATGTCACCAACAAAGATGTTAAACAGCTCTGGTCCCAATACTGGTCCCTGAGAAACACCACTCGTCACTGGTCTCCGCTCAGATATTGAGTCATTGACTGCAACTATTTTGAGCGCAACCACCCAGCAAATTCTTCATCCACAAAGTGGTGCATACATCAAATCCTTGTCTATCCAATTTAAGAGACAAGGATATCATGCAGGACAGTGTCAAACACCTTGCACAAGTCCAGGTAGATGATGTCAGTTGCTCTTCCCTTCTCCATCAGTGCTGTAACCCCATCGTAGGCCACCAAATCTGTCAGGCATGATTTGCCCTTAGTGAAGCCATGTTGGCTGTCACCAATCACCTCCTTGTTTTCCATGTGCCCTAGCATAGGTTCCAGAAGTATCTGCTCCATGATCTTCCCAAACACAGAGGTGAGTCTGACTGGTCTGTAGTTCCCTGGATCTTCCTTTTTTTTTCCTTTTATAAAAATAAGGGTTATGTTTCCACTATTCCAGTCAGTGAGAACTTCACTGGACTGCCATGACTTCTCAAATATGGACAGTGGCTTAGCCACTTCATCCACCAGTTTCCTCAGGACCCACAGATGCATCTCTTCAGGTCCTGTTGTTGTGCACTTTCAGGTTCCTCGGATGGTCTTATCTCCAACAGTTGGTGGATCTTCACTCTCCCAGTCTCTGCCTTTGCTTTCTGTGTCTTGGGCAGTATGACTGGAACACTTACTAGTGAAGACTGAGGCAAAAAATTCATTGAGCCTTCTCCATATCCTGGGTAAACAGGTCTCCTATTTCCTTCTGGAGAGGGCTAACATTTTCCCTATTCTTCCTTTTATCATTGACATACCCATAGAAGCTTTTCTTGTTGCCCATGACATCCCTGGACAGATTTAATTCTATCAGGGCTTTGGCTTTCCTAACCCGATCCCTGGCTGCTTGGGCAATTTCTCTGTATCCCTCTTAGGCTATTGGTCCTTGCTTCCACCTCTGTAGGCTTCCTTTCTGTGTTTGAGTTTGTCCAGGAGCTACTTGCTCATCCATGCAGACCTCCTGGTGGTCTTACCCCACTTCCTCTTTGTTAGCATGGACAGCTCCTGAGTTTGAAGGAGGTGATCCTTGAACAAGAACCAACTTTTTTGACCATCTACCCTCCAGGGCTTTATCCCATGCTACTCTGCCAGGCAGATCCCTGAACAGACCAAAATCAGCTCTCCTGAAGACCAGGGTAGTGAACTTGCTGTGCACCCTTCTCTCTGCTTCAAGGATGTTGAATTCCACCATTTCATGACCACTGCAGCCAAGGCTGCCCTTGAGCTTCACACTCCCCACCAGCCCCTCCTTGTTGGTGAGAACAAGGTCAAGCATAGCACCTCTCCTCATTGACTTATCCACCATTTGCAGAAGGAAGTTACCATCAACGCATTCCAAGAACCTCCTGGCTTGCTTATGCCCCGCTGTGTTGTCCCTCCAGCAAATATTTGGGTGATTAAATTCCCCCATGAGGACCAGGGCTTGTGAACGTGAGGCTTTTCCTATCTGTCTGTAGAGGTCCTCATTTGCTCAGTCTTCCTGGTGGGGTAGCCTGTAGCAGACCCCTACTATAATGTCACCCGTTCCTTCCCTCCCTTTAATGCTGACCCTTAATCTCTCAGTCAGCTCCTTATCCTTTGCCTGGATGATTGTGAAGGGTATTGCTTTGGTTTTCTTCTTTTGACACTTTCCTGTAAATATTGCTTTAAGTACAGGTTTGAACCTGAATGTTCTCCTCTGCAGTTGAATGTGATCACTGTCAAACAACAGTGTCACATTAACTCTGATTGAGAGGACGTTCAAGTAATTCACAGAAGTGAATTAGCTTCAACTGAAGAGATTGATAGAAATGATGGTAGAAAAGGTGATGGAAATAGGTGTTTGATGTATGCTCTGAGTAAAAAGATGCAGTAAAGTAGAGAAACATTCCCACAGTTCTGTAATTGTGGATGGCATTTAATGATTCCAGATCCCCACATCTAAACAGTTCATTTTGGGTAGCTCAAACAAATAATTTTTCTAATTTAATTTGTTCGGTTTTCATCACTTGGCACTGTAAGCTGAATTTTACTTAAATTCTCTAATAGGCTGGGATTAAACTCCCAAAGTTACCTCAGTGATTTTACAGCCCACCTTTATAATCAATACAGTGGAACTGTGGAATGGTTTTAGTGCTACCTGGCTCAATACAATTGGCTAAACAGAAGTGACTACTGCTGTTTGAGTTGCTCAAGGTTTTTTCCCTCACCTCCAGCTGCTGTTCCAAAAAGACCTCCCACAGATCTGTACAGACATCTTGAAATACTGACAGAAATTCTCATCTTTTGTTTCTAGCCAGAATAAACTGGGATCCGTCTGATCCTCAGATCATATCTGAAGGCCTGTATGCAATTGCAGTAGTATTAAGTTTCTCCAGAATAGCCTACATCTTACCAGCTAACGAAAGCTTTGGACCACTGCAGATATCACTTGGCAGAACTGTGAAAGACATCTTCAAGTTCATGGTGATATTTATAATGGTGTTTGTGGCTTTCATGATAGGCATGTTTAATCTCTATTCCTACTATCTGGGGGCAAAACAAAATGAAGCATTCACAACGTAAGTACAACTGATTAAACTGTTATGATTGTGGACTATTTTTTATGGGAAGTTGGCTGTTTGCATTGTATGTATTAAATTTACTAATTGTTTTATAAAGTTTGCATCTCAAAAATTTCTTCATCTTGGATTAAGTAGTAATTTTCTCTGTTGTTCTGGTGCTTAAAGGATATATTTGAAATCAGAAAATGAGCTGTCGATCCCAACAATACTATGATAAATCAGGAAAGACAAGCTGGGAAGGTGAGAAATAGTTGCCTTATATGTGAGAGAGCAGCCAGAACGCCTGTACCTCTGCCTAGGGATAGGTGATGAGCCAATGAGAGCTTATAGCTCAGGATTAGAGGAAAGACCAGCATGGGTGATGTAGTGCATGTCTGCTACAGAATGCCTGATCAGGAAAAGGAAGTACATGAGATCTTCTTCAGGCAAGTGGAAGAAGCCTCACACTTGCAGACCCTGGTGCTCATGGGGATTTTTAACCACCCTGATATCTGCTGGAGGAAAAATACAGCAGGGCACAAGGAATCCAGGAGGTTTCTGGATGGCATTGACAATAAATTCCTGACACAGGTGATGGAGGTGCTGATGAAGAGAGGAGCTTTATGACACCTGAGTTTTACAAGCAAGGAAGAACTGTTTGAGTATGTGAAGGCTGGGAGCAGCCTTGACTGGTTCAGATGGTGGAGTTCAGGTTCCTGCGAAGAGAGAAGGCAGCAAATAGCAGGACCACAACTCCAGACTTCAGGAGAACAGACTTTGGGCTGTTCAGGAAAAAATCTTGTGGGATAAGGCCCTGGAGAGAAGGGCAGTCCAGGGAAGCTGATTGATTTTTGAGAATTGCCTTTTCAGTGCTCAAGATTGGTCCATCTCAATGGGCAGGACATCAAGCAAACTTGTCAGGAGGTCTGTGTGGATGAAAGAGAGTGACTGATAGGCCAGCAGGTTGTAATGCCGTTCAGAAGGACCTCGACAGGTTGGAGAAATGATCTGACAGGAACCTTGTGAAGTTCAACACAGGGAAATACCATGTTCTGCCCCTAGGGAGGAAGGACCCCAGGCACCGGGACAGGCTGGGGCTGACCAGCTGGAAAGCAGCTTGGCAGAAAACCACCTGGGGGGTCCTGATGGACACCAAGTTGACTGTGAGCCAGCAACCTGCCCTTGTGGCAAAGCAGACCAACAACCTCCTGGGCCATGTTAGGCTGGGCAGGCTTAAAGAAGACCAGAAGTATCACAGACCCCTTACACAGCCCTATACGTATGTCAGATGACCTGGCAGTGCAATCTGTATTAGCACTCCGTGCACAGGGCTTGTTCACAGAGTTCAGGGACTTTGGGACATAGGCTGGTCAGACCCTGGACCTGCAGGACAGCATCCTGCCTGTGAGGGTGATTGGCACCAGCACTTCAGAGTGCAGCGGCTCCCTGCAGCCTGTGGAGCAAGGCTGGTGCCTCTGACAAGTGCCACTCTCATCTGTAACTGAAGCAGGCTAATCACTACCGTGTGATACACATTGTAAAATATTTGTAATTTAATTTAGACAACTCCATATATTCTCACCATTAAAAAAAAAAATAAATCTAATCCCTTTTTAAAGCTCTGGCTCCCTGTAGTTGCCAATGGTAATAACCTATTCCATTTTGAGAGGAGAAAATACATTCCCCTTTTTTTCTTTGACTATTTTCTTGATTATTCTTTTTTTCTTCTTCCACCATAAGAATAGAAATTCTGAATTTCTCTGTCAGGAGTTATTTGGTATACATTTGTCATGCATCTCATTTCTAGCTGTGATTTAAAGATAAATAACTTCAGCGGGAACTTATTCTTTTCCATGCTCTGCAGCCCTTACCCACTTAATTTCTGGCTGTCATGATATTCAAGCTGTACCTGTTACGAAGTATATTCAGCCAGGAAGCAAACTGGGCCAAGAGAAAAAAAATTGTTACTACTTTTTTAGTATTATTTGATCACACCATAGATAAATTACCTAAAGCTACGACTCACAGATGGAATACTGATAAAATATTGTAAGTAGAGAAGTAAATTCACTACTAAAAATTAAACATTTCTTTTAACTTTTTTTTTTTTTTTTTTTTTTAAACAATAATGCAACAAAATCCAAAATGTGCTTTGCAATGCTACTTCATTTTTGGACAAGCGGAACTGAGATCTCTTCTTCAAAGCAAGGGGAAATATATTTTTAAACAGGTGGAGATAGATAGGAAAAGATACCTCAGTGGATTGGATTTATGTTTATGCAAATATATATATATAAAATTATTAAGAGGAAATACATGTATTTAAATGAACTGACTTGGAAAAAAAATCAGTATCCCCACACCATGGCTTATTGCCTTTACCTTGAATTTGTGGGATAGTGAAAACTCAACTGGAAGGTTGTGGTCTGTGAGACTCATTCTTTGAAAAATACTGATTTGCAGTCAGACATCCTGTCTTCTTCACAGTTTCAAAATGTTATATTAATGGTGAAATAATTCATACTAAGTGAACTAATGGTGCAGTTAAAATGAAGTATCTACGGTGATTTTTTTTTTTTATGTGCATTCACATTACCAGCAAGCATGTAGCATATAGATTAAAGTAGTTAACAAGTGAATTGTAATATTCTTTTGAGGATATAATAATAATAATAATAATATAAGTCCTAAACTGAATCAGATGGTTTTATTTTCAATCTTAAATATTAGGAATCTCATATTATGAAACAGCCTGTACCTATGAAATTAGATAGTCTACTTGTTCTGCATAATATCACTATGGTAGAGTTCTACATTATGATAATGGAAAAATTTGTACACTGTATAAAAATGGTAGCTGGCAATTTATACAATAAGAATATACAGCTTTTCTTCAGTAACATATGCGTGTGTTCAATTTCTCCTTTTAGTGTTGAAGAAAGTTTCAAGACATTGTTCTGGGCTATATTTGGACTCTCGGAAGTTAAATCAGTTGTCATCAATTATAAACACAAATTTATTGAAAATATTGGTTATGTCCTTTATGGAGTCTATAATGTTACCATGGTCATTGTCTTACTGAACATGCTTATTGCAATGATCAACAGCTCATTCCAGGAAATTGAGGTAAAATTCCATTTATGGTGAAATATCACCACATTTACTGTTATACCCAATTGTCTAAATCACCTGAAAATTTTCTTGTTGACATCTTATTTAAGAAAAGTAACAGATAGGCTTTTGGAATATATTAGGAGAAAATACTAAGTCCACTGTACATTTTTATTATAAAATACCTGGAAATTGCGCAGTTGCATGTGCTTGCAATAGTAAGAATTAGACTGGACTAAGAAACTTCTAGTGAACTGTGTTATGTCCCTGAAGAGGATGTGTGACTTCTTTGTTGATCTTTGCCTCATTTGTAGTTCCTATTTGAGTAGCATGCCTCTTGCTGTGAGAATGTTCTCACTCCTATGCCTTGACCTTGCAAGCAAGTCTGTAATATGCTGTTTTCTTCTTTTATTTAAACTGTTGCTCTAGTCAACTGCAGTGAACAAAACTTTACTTGACAAAGTAAAGGGCTACTGAAAATCAGCATGAACTGTTGTATGCTGTGGAAAACAACAGGCTAAATCATTATCATTGTTTAATAAAAAAAGGAAGCAGGTCTTCAGGAGCTAGGCCACCTCAGCCTTTCCCAGGTGATGCCCTTGCCACAAAGCAGCAGACTCAGGTTTCACACCTCTCTGGTCCCAGGTTCTGGGCTCTGGTTTGGGACTGTAGCATTGTTCAGCTTGGGCAAGAGCAACACATGTTCTCTAGGGAGTTTCAGATTCTTCTAACTCAGGAGGCCATCAGGTTCACAGCAAATAAAACCAAGCTACTATCTGAAAATATGGTCACTGGATACAAAGAGCTTCTATAAACAGCTACAGCGGTACGGAGTCATGTCCTTGAACATAACTTAGGTCCTTTCCGCAGAAACACTATTAAACTTTACATGGAGGAATAAAGTGCATGTTTTGACTATCGTAAATGTTAAACATAAACCATGATGATGATACCATACCTGATTTAATCATATATCCCAGCAAACGGAAAGGATTAGGTAAAAATCACCCAATCTTTTCCAACTTCATGTTTAACGTAATAGAATAAAGTTTTAATTTAAAATTCTGATACTATGTCTTCTTCACAAAAAGATAATAGACTAATTGCTACAGAAGAGACCAATAAGAAATCAGAGTTTTTAGTCTCATTGAGAGATTGTTATGTTAACATAGGATTTTTCAATTTTATTTCCAGACCATGAGAGTGTTCCAAGAAGGCAACTACTCAGTGAAGCCCTAGAGCGGGTGAATTTGAGTGTTGCCATGAAGCTTTAACTTAAGCATTGTATTGCTTTTAAGTCAGAGCTCTCCTTCTAATCAGTGTGTTTACAAAGAGAACAAGAGATGTGGTTTTGTGATCCTGTATTGCAGACTATTAGCAGTCACTCTGCAGTAGCCAATGTTTAAATCAAATCCACTTTGCTCTTCTGTAATTGCATTATTTAAATGGACTAATGAGAACAGTCCCACTCACTGAAATTTAGTTTTCACATAATATAAACAACTTTTTGATCTGTTTGAGATTATTTTCAGCCAGTTACATTCAAAAACACCATAAAGTTTATCTAGAGCATCTTCAATAGTCAAGGTGATATTAACAGTTTACTAACAGCCATGTTTCTGTTTTACAGGATGATGCTGATGTAGAATGGAAATTTGCAAGGGCTAAACTTTGGTTTTCTTACTTTGAAGAAGGGAGAACTCTTCCAGTACCCTTCAACTTAGTGCCAAGCCCAAAGTCTTTGCTGTATCTCCTACTCAGAATCAAAAACTGTATTTCTAAACCATTTCTGTGCCAAAAGAAAAGCTTTAAGGAAGATGCAGAGATGAACAAGGTAATTTTTTAATGTGTATACTGACTGCTAATTTTAAAAGATAAAACCAATTTTAAACTTCATTTTTGTTGTTAACCTGCTTTTTCTCATGAATTTCCCAACATCATTAGTCCATACTGAAGTCAGTCATGACATACAGGCTCTATTCCTTAATTTGTTTTCTAATATAAATATTTGTCTACATCTGCCATATGTTAAGTTCAAAAATAACTTTGTAAATTTACAGTTCTTTCTGCTTCTTGTCAAAAAATCAGAGAATAATTCAGGCTGGGAGGGACTTCAGGAGGTCTCTGGTCCAACCTCCTGCTTGTGCCAGGGTCAGCTCTAAGGTCAGGCTGGTTGCTCAGGGCTTCATCCAATTAAGCCTTGAAAACCTCCAGGGATGGAGACTTCACAGCCTCTCTGGGCAGCATCTGTCACCTCCTGACTGCCCCTCAGTTTCTTCTACCTCTTGTTTGAATTTGTAGCAGCCTTCCAGTACCCAAAGGGGTCCTACAAGAAAGCCAGAGAGGGATATTTCACAGGGGTGTGTAGTGATAGGACAAGGGGTAATGGCTTTAAAATGAAAGAGGGTAGATTTACATTAGATGTGAGGAAGAAATTCTTCCCTGTGAGTGTGGTGAGACACTGGAGGAGGTTTCCCAGAGAAGCTGTGGCTGCCCCCTCCCTGGCAGTGTTCAAGGCCAGGTTGGACGGGGCTTTGAGCAACCTGGGCTAGTGGAAGGTGTCCCTGCACATGGCAGGGGGTTGGAACTAGGTTATCATTAAGGTCCCTTCCAACCCAAATTGTTCTATGATGCTATGATCCTCTTGTCCTGCAGTACTGTGAAAAGCCAAGCTCCATCTCCTCAATACCTCCCTGTATACACTGGAGGCCAGTGTTAGGTATGCCTGAAGCCATATCTACTTCAGGCTGAACAAGCCCATATTCCCCAGTGTCTCTTCACAGGGCAAGTGATCCAGCCCCAAATGTCTTGGTGACCCTCTACTGAACTTGCTGAAGCTTTTCTGCCATCTTTCTCACTGTCCCACAACTCTCCCAGGTCCTTTTCTGCAGAGCTGCTCCCTATCCAGCCAGTCCCCAGTGGTTGTTGTTGAGTTATTCCTTCCCATTTGTCCTTATTGAAATTCATAAGGTTTCTGTCAGCCCTATCCTCCTGGATGGCATCCCTGCCTTCAAATCTGTCAACTGCTCCCCCCAAATCTGCCTTTGTCTGCAAAGTTGACAGGAGTGTGCTCCAACACTGCCTCTGATGCCTGGTCTTTGATAAAGATGTTTAAAAGGGCAAGTCCCAGGACAGGACCCTTATATTGCCTTCTGAGTGCAACCATCCACTTCAGGATTTTACCCATCTAGTTGTCCACCCATCCAGGCAGTAAAATCCTAACGTGGGTACAAGAACATTATAGGATACGGTGTTAAAACCCTTGCTAAAGTCAAGGCAGTGGACATCCCCAGCTCTGTCCTCATCTGCAAATCCAGTAAAAAAATCCTATCTGAGAAGGCCATCCAGATGGTCAGACAGGTTTACATTTCATAAACCCACAGTTACTTTTCCTAACCATCTTGTCCTCTTCCTTGTACCCCAAAATGTGCTCTAAGACGACTCAATCCATTATTTTGTGTTACTGAAGGGAGATTTAGTGGCCTGTGATTGCCCAGATCATTATTTTGACCTTCTCTGGAGATGAGTTTGACATAAAAAATGTTTCACAGAAAGAGTGGTCAGACAGTGGAATAGGCTGCCCAGGGAGGTGGTGGGGTCACCATCCCTGTGTGTGTTTAAGGGTCATTTGGATGAGATGCTGGGGGATATGGCATAGGGGAGAACTTTGTAGAGTAGGGCTGATGGTTGGACTGGATGATCCCAAGCGTCTTTTACAACCTGAATGTTTCTATGATTCTATATGTCTTTCTCTAGCCTTTGGGGACCTCTCCAAATCTCCATGATCTTTCAAAGATGATAGCATATTTTCAAGAGCTTAATCTGCTGTCTCAGCACCCATGGATGCAGCCCATTGTGTCCAATGGACTTGCCTAGACCAAGTTCTCTCAAGTAACCCCTGACTTGACTGTCCTCCACAGCTGGTCATTCTCCTCCTCGAATCCCTTCACTAAGCACAGAGGCCTGAGAGACTGTTGGTGAAAGCTAAGGCAAAGAAGGCACCGAGTCCCAAGCCTTACCTGAGTCCTCTGCCACTAAACCCCCTGCCCACTGAGCAACAGGCCCACATTTTCCTTGTTCAGCATTATACTGCTACTGTAGCAGTAGAAGCTCTTGTTACTGCCCTTGCAAATGTCAGCTTAAGGTGAGCTTTGTCCTTCCTAACACCAATCTCACATGCCTGGGCAGAGTTTCTGAATTCCCCCTTTCTAGCCTGTCTCTGTTTCCACTGAGAGTGCTTTTATTGTGAAGCATTCTGTTATCTGTTTTATTTGCACAAGTGCAGTGAAAAGCACTTGAGTTGATTCATTGCTGTATCTCAGGTGCTTATTTAAAGAGTTTGTAGTCAGTCTGTTTTTGCTACAGTGTCTCAGTATAAATCAAATGACTTGCTTTAGGAGAATATGGGGCATAGCACATGGTTTTAGGTGGTATTGGAAGTGTAAAGACTAGCACTATTGTGACATGTTATGGAAGAAGACCTTTGCAAGACAGTGAATAGAAAGGTGAGCATATGCTAACATTCACAGAAAGAAAGGAATTACAGGTTTGTCATGGTGGCAGAAACAAATGTGTCATTTATGGACATTTTAGTGTGGAAAGATCTTTGTTAAAATAGGCAGCAGTCTGGCCAGAGGCCTGTTCAAAGTTTGGAGTTCTTGAGTCTGTAGTCAGGAGTCATTAGTCATTAGACTGGGGGCCAGTAAAGAATTTACATGCATCTGTCAGCTCTCTGTCACCAACATGACAAGCCCATTTTCCATCACAGTTATCAGTTGAAGAGTAAAAGAGAAAAGAATCTGGTTGCAATCCTAGAAGAAAGAAATGGAGCTCTAGGGAAAAATACTGTGCTTCTGACGAGGCTCTGCCTCTGCTAAGTTCATAGTAGTCTATAAAAACAAACACAGATATTACAAACGTCACCAATGTCAAGATTTTGATTAATTTCAGATGCCTTGTGTGTGCTACCAGTAATTTTTCTAACATTTCACACATCTCAATTTTATTTGGGAAATCTAATCCTAATATATTTAAAACCTAATAGAGGTGATGCTGTATTTGCTCAAGTTTTTAGTGATGCTGGCATTTGCAAAACTTTTCATCAAGCTGCTTGATGCAAATCAATTTTATAACTTCCATGAGTGATAAAGTCATTATTGAAAAATCATGACTTTAAGGAGATGCATATAAACTTCAAATTGAGTGATGATGAGATGCAACAAATCAAAGGATTTTTTCTTCTAATTCACTTAATTTGTGACTCTCAAAAGCACATAAGCTAGAAATGTATTTTTAATGACTTTTTAAAATGAAATTTATGTTCCCATAAAACAGGTACTCTTAAAAATTCCATTCTTACACCCTAAGTAAAGAAGCTGGATTTTTACCATTCCTTTTCAAAATTATATCCAAGCCTAGCAATTCAGATGGCTAGAAGGGTGCAAAATGTAATAATTACCAATTCTAGATAAAATAGTAACAGCAGATTCTGCTTTTACAGCAGTCCCTCTGAAAGAGATCTGTAAGGACGCAACCATCATTTATCAATTTTTTTTCTAACCCTGCATTTTGGTCTTCAAACATTAATGCTTTCCACTCACTACAGATTGTAGTACAACTAATGCTAAATGAAATGTCCTTACTCCCCAGCCAAAGAAGCTATAAAACTGCAGATGAAATTTTTTAAAAAAAGCTTTTATGTTGAAAAACATAAAGCAGCTGAGTAACACCTATTTCTTCTTCAGCTTTTCCGGCAGGGTGACTGATGATTACATTTTTACTTACCCATTGGACCATCACATACTGTGCAGTTGACTTTACCTGAATCTATCAGATGCTGCTATCCTTCATACTCCTAAAAAATATATATAAAATGGTTTTGTGTCACATCTTGACCCACTGTTGATGATTCATTATCGTTGAGGTTGTTTTGTGGCATCTTCTCAAAGGCATTCTCAGGCTTTTTGCGTTTTGACTTTGGACTCATCCTGTGCTGAGCAGGCTTGTGCTGCTGTGACTGTTGAGCAAGGAGCTACTATAAATGCAATGTGCAAAGAAGAAAAGATTTGTCAAGACCAGATCCAAGTCTTGGTGGCTGTGTCTATGCTAGTAAATTAAATGTGACAGAGTTTGTCTGGGCACTGAGGCCAATTCAGTATTGGCTTGTCCCTATTCAAGTAGTTTTCCTCCCAAAGTAGGGTTGCTGCAAGCTCTTGTCCCCAGACCATTCCAACTGCCAAACTGTGCCTGAGATTGCTCTGGTGCAAGTCATATTTGGGAGGACACTTGAAGTTTACTGATAGGAGACATTGCATTGCAGGACCCAGAAACGTTAATACACGCTTGAGTTTACTGCTCTAGACCCAGCCTGTGGGTCTTTCTCCTGCAGAACCTGCATCTTCTCAGTGCAAAAGTGGCAGCAGCAACAGGACGAGTGTAAAGACAAGAATTAGGATGGGAAGAGGGGAAATTCTGGCCCTAGAGCCACCTCTGCCCTGATTACCTTTGGCAGAAAATTAAGCCAGATGCCATCAGTGCTAAATGGCGAGTGATTTACATAGCTGTGTTCGAAGTGTAGCACACCAGAAACTAACTTCTCAAGACATACCTACATATAATAATAAAGGCTATGAGATGTTTTCTTTTAGCCTGTTGATCAAAACCCACAGATTTCTTCTGTTTCAGGCTAGAACCGGTGTTTTAAATATCAGGTGAACAAGAAACTGAAACCAAAAAAAGGGGAGAAATAAATGAAGGAAAATGAGAGTTTTAAAACCTGCTTTGAGTTTTATTCTAAATTGAAAAACTGCCTTGTGAATGAGAAAGTTTATGGTCTAAGAGTCACAGAACTTGTTCATCTTCCTGAACTAAAAACTGAGAGTGGCACATGATGTATTTAAAGTTTTTTCTTAAAACATGACCTTTCAGGATAGAAATAAGGAACAACTAGTTATTGAAATAGCTTTAAACCCTCATTCAAGCAATAAAAACTATGTTAACTTTTACTTTCCTAGTAATTAACAGTGTTTCTGAAATTTTCCCAAGCGACCTCTGGTTATTGGAACACAAACTGTCATTTTCTGGGAACCCTCCCATCTGGTCCAAGCACGTATGATTTACTGTCATTCCAAGTCATCATCTGCTTCTGAAAACTGGGATTTAAGTTGTTAATAAAGTTCTGCACAAAACAGCTACAGTAATTGCATTACTATTCTGATTACATTAATTTTAAGTAATACTAGAGACTGATGAAATGAGAAGCAAGTTTAAAGAAGGTGTTTTCTAAGAGGAATGTTCCATTTATGCTGAATTTCTTCTTCTACACAACACTCCTGGAGGAGTGTTTTTGTTAGGGTTTTTATCATTGTTTTATTTAAATTATATTTTTTACCCTCCATTTAGTCATGTGCTGATGTTCAATAGATATTAACTTAAAAATACAAGTTCTAGTTCAGTCATTAATGTGACAAGCTGAGATTACTTTAGTAGTAATTTTGGGGAGAGGATAAAGCCATAGGCATGAAACTTAAAGAGAGTTTAAAAATTTTGTGTAAAATGAAGTTATAACGAAATCTTGGCAATCTCTGCCACCAAGTGGTCATTCAGCAACATACAATAGATGTCCTGTCACTGTTATATAAGTAGATTCATTGAAGTTATATATTTCTGATTTACCTGCCAACTCTCAAGGTGCAGCCTGTAGCTAATTAGAAGTACATTATTCTGTTCAAAAAATGCAGAGTGCTGAAGGGTCAAAGTTAAGATAAAGATGTTACAGTGTATCTGGTTTCACCAGTTTGCAGTGTCTCATTTTACTCATTTCACTACATATTACCAATTTTGTTATTTCAGGTGAAAATCAAGTTTCAGTTAAGCATTGGACTAATTTTTGAAGTGAACCAATGTAAAGTAAATTTGAAACTGGTAATCGGCACGACAGATTACATTTAAAATACATAATTAAATGCATAATAAATATTTAAAAATACATAATAAAATTGAATGCATTTGCAGATTATATGTGAACTGGTAAGTACCAGGATCATGAATGATATCACAGCTGCAGAAAAAGTCAGAAATCCAGAAGGACTGGGACACCAGCCACATAGCCGGAGCCCAAGCTCACGCCTTGGGCGGTGAGCCCAGGCAGCTTTGGCTACAGTGACTTTCCTCTGCCACTGAAGAGGAAGCATAATCTTCCTCTTATTCTACTACGTTATTTCAAAAAAATTGTGCATTAGGAAACTAGGAGTTGAAAAAGCAGGAAGATTTTTTTCCTTTTTTAACCTAGTAATAAAGGTAAAGCCCAAGAGTATTTTTAGTTCTAAAATCCTGAAAGACATAGTGATTACACAGCCATGTAAACTAGCCACTATTTTTAATTATAAATTAGATACGTAGTTTTAAGTTAAAACATTTAGATAAACTTGTGTTTTCTAACATATTCAAAATATGTAAGGTACTTTTATTCAGGCAAGGAAAAGCAACCATAAGTTGCCTTTTTATACATCTTTAGTTCAATTTCCATCCAAATTCAGGTTAATATGTTAGAGATAAAAATGAATTATATATCTATTTATATATTACTGTATGTCTTCTATTATTATTTTTCTTAGTCAGATAAACATAGTCTGAATAGATAGATAGTGTTTTCAAAAGTATCTGTATATAGATATTGTGAGTCTTTTTAAAGAGCAAAAAGTCCAAATTCAGTGTAAACTTTATATTAATTTCAAAATATTGTATTTTACCAAGAAGTGTAATCTTTTCTTCAGGAAAAAATATCAAAGTACAAACCTGATCTAGTGAAAGATGTCCCCACCCATGACAGGGGGGTTGAACTATTTGATCTTTAAAGACCCCTCTCAACACAAACCATTCTATGATTCTATGAAATGCTAAACAAAATCTAAAAATATTTAAATTATTCCATTTGCAGTTCATAAAGACTTCCATGCTTTACTGTTAAAGTTAGTATAAAGTTATTTGGAATTCTAGAAAACTACAAGACTTTTAAGGAGCAACCTTAGCAGCAGCTGTGAGAATTGAGAATTTTAATCAGTGTTCTCACTGCTGATTAAACAACTGAACCTGATGCCTCATTCAGCCTTTTCATACCTATACAACTCCCAAGTTTTTTATTTGAGCATTTGTATTAGTACATGTATGTTAGAATGAAGCCCTGGTAAATTCTCTCTGCTGAGAACTTTTTATCATTTTCTAACTGACGTCTGGTGAATATTTATCACATATTCCGTATTCCTACTTCCATTTATTATCAAAGTTCAACCATGGGAAGTTCCTGTTATACCTTAAGAGTGAAGTATATATGCCTGATTTCAGTTGCAGAAGAAATGGCTACAAGAAGGTTTTAGCCTTCATTAACATCAGGTATTGTGTTTTGGGCTCCCTTGATGCGTGACACGCCTGTAGAGCTGCATAAGCATCTAACCTTCTCCTGCTTTCCTCCCGAGCAAACTATATCCCAGAGTATCCCAAATAACCAAAGGCCTTAGAAGACATCAGCACAGTAATTTAATATTCCCCAAACTGAGTTAATGTTCTGTCATACGACATATGCATGAGGTAATTAAGCATATTGTTCTTCTATTTATTTTGTACTCTAAATTTAGTTTCTATTTCAGCTTGGTCAAAGGAAGCAATCAAGTATAAGAAGCTCGGATGAAATCCATTTAAACAGTTTAAACAATCCTCCAAGGCAATACCAGGTAAAAACCAGTATATTTTAAAACAAAATCAAGAAGTAATAGAACTGTCAGACAGACAGCACGAGGACAGTTTTGAATTTATGTTAAACAATATGAATCAAGAATAAATCCACAGACCTTGTGTATATCAGAAATAAATGTCAATGGTTTAGGTATTTGCAGTACAGTCTGAGGTTGTTTTTCTCTAGTCTTTGTTTCTTAAACCTTACCATTATAGTGCAATATTTTAAAGTGCTCGAAAACTGTTTTTAATTTTGGAGACAGGTTGAGTCCTCAGCTGCACAGTATGAATTAAGAAAACCAAAAAGAAAATAAAAATCAAAATAGCTTATTGTGCTACACCTCTATATACTAATACTTCAAGCACTGCAAATATCTTTCAGGCTTTATGTTATCAATATAGTCTGTTTATTCTTTGTCTCCTAAACAACTGCAGTGAGCCTTTGTGCAATTAAGTATAAAGAGACCCAGCACAGTTCACATAAAGCTCAGCTGTTCTGCTCCAGAGGCTGCTCCTTTCCTTCCTGTAATACTACAAAGCAGGTGGAAAGGAAGAAGCAAGGGCTGCGTGGGCAATAGAACAATGCCATCTGGATGCGAAAGGATGTAGAAAACAGGTGTACCTTTTTTAACCATACAAGAGAGAAAAGTTTTTTCCCTTGGGCAGGCTAACTCAGCTCCACTCTTATATTGTGCAGTGTCTGCAAAAGTCTATTCCAAAAACTCCCTGACTTTTTCACAGCCAATTTCATTATGATGCAGTGATACATTTGAAGAGTTCAGATTTATCCCATAAATGTGAGAATATGTGGCTTTGTATTTGAAACTTTCTCGGATTATTAGAATAAACAGTACAGATGCTGACCTTGCAAGCATGACTGCAGTGACGGTCTAGAACCACTAATCTGGGATGATTCACACCATAACCATCTCTGGTCAGGTCTATTACTGTGGAGACAAAAGCAGACACATAAACCTACCTATATTTTGCATCTTGTAGTGAAAACCAGAAAGTATTGTTTTGTCATGGGTTACACCACATGAAAATATTAAACACAAAGTTAGAAAGATAGATCCTCAGAGATAATTAGATACCTTGTTCTCATTCAAGTAATTTGAACTAATGGGAGAATCAGGGGTGGAATTCATTTTTCCTGGGAAGGTAAAATTTACATCTCAATTTGCTGGCCTAGGTTCCCCTTTATTATTAGCAGAGAGGGTAGTCATTTGAATGGTGTGATTTATTTGATGAGTTTTAGTTGTCTGAAACGAACTGTGCTCTCAGGTTTGCTTTTTCTATCCACAGAGAGATTTAAAGGTGAGATATGTATATTTACATTAGAAAGTATCTCTGTTTGGTTAGATGAGTCCCAGCTGAGATGCTTAAATAACTCTTAGAATTGTGGGTCCCATTTTCTCTAAGGCTTACACTGGGAAAAGTTAACTTATCAAATATAATATAAAAGTGGATTAAAATAGACTGATGGCAAAAGGGTGTAGCAATTAGCACTGCTAATCGGGGTCATTAGCATATTTTGGTAGCAATATAGGCTAGATGGTTCCACCTACATGGAAATCAAAGCTGCAACTGTATTAATCATTCTCACAGACTCCAGCAGTAGGTTAAGCTTCATGAATGATAACATTCCTAAGACATGTTTAGTTTTCTAACTTTCACGTATATATATGTGCAGAATCATAAAGTTTCAATATCTACTGTAGATGAAAACAGATTTTTTCATTCCTTTAACCCTGTAAGTCCCACACTAAAGTGTCTGAATGCAACAGAAGGACATAACACCTCATGTTTTGAAACGTCATAGCAGTAATAGAAAGACCAACTAAGAAAACTCTTTTTTCTTCTTTCTTCTCTGCAGAAAATAATGAAGCGCCTCATTAAAAGATATGTACTGAAGGCTCAGATAGATAAGGAAAGTGATGAAGTCAATGAAGGTATGTTTATGAATTGTATGTTTATCTCTAATCAGAGAATCAAACCAAATAAAGCGGTTACATGTGCCACTTGAAAAAAATGTTTACAAAATACTTAATCCACTTGACATGTTTACAAGTGCAAGAGGTAAAATTAACATGAAATCGAAGTCAAGGAAGAGATGTGGCTTTCTGTCTCTGCTCTCCGATCAGAAACTATCACTTATCTGATGACTTCTTGTGAAAAGTGTTGCTACTGCTAGTAATACCCATGCATTTCTCATGGTGAGGCCTGAATTTAGTGCAGCAGCTGGTTTGAGGCTCTCCTGTACAAATTCTCCCTGTGTGGATATATGCTCTTATTGGGAACTCATATATGGGGATACACACACTTCAGCCTTTTTTTGGAGTGATTTATTAGCTGGAAACAGCTAGTGAATGCACTTCACAGAAATGTTTTCTTTTGTTTGCACCCCTCTGGTGCTGAAAGGACACTTAGTGCAGCAGGAAAAGGAGAAGACCACTCTCTTTTGGACAGTGCTTGTTGCTGGCCAGGAAGACTCAGGCAGCCCCGATCTGCATGATATACAGAAAGGGACCTGGAGGTGTTGGGCAACAGCCGGCTGCACATGAGCCAGCAGTGTGCCCAGGTGGCCAAGGCAGCCAACAGCATCCTGGCTTGTATCAGAAATATTGTGGCCACCAGGACTAGGGAAGTGATTGTCCCCCTGTACTCAGCACTGGTGAGGCCGCACCTCGAAGAGTGTGTTCAGTTTCTGGCCCCTCACTACAAGAAAGACATTGAGGGGCTGGAGTGTCAAGAGAAGGACAACCAAGCTGGTGAAGGGTCTAGAGCACAAGTCTTATGAGGAGCAGCTGAGGGAACTGGGGTTGTTTAGTCTGGAGAGAAGGAGGCTGAGGGGAGACCTTATTACTCTCTACAGCTCCCTGAAAGGAGGGTGGGCGTCGGTCTCTTTTCCCAAGTAACAAGTGATAGGACAAGAGGAGAGACTCCAGTTGTGCCAGGGGAGGTTTAGATTGGATATTAGAAATATTTCTTCACTGAATGGGTTATCAAGCATTGGAACAGGCTCCCCAGGGAAGTGGTTGTGAACTGATGTGATCTCTCACACTTTTGCCTTCAGTTTTGTTTAATTCCTGAAGTGCATCTTCATATTCCTATCCCTAAGCCACCATTCACCAACAGGTGCAGAACATCCACTTTTTTCCTCTTTCTACAAAGAAATCCAGAGAAAACCCATCATAACTGAGATATTTGGATATGCTGTTTTTTTCCTTTGTTTCTTAATAGTGTGATCTTCTAACATCTGTTACAGGTGAACTTAAAGAAATTAAACAGGACATCTCAAGTCTCCGGTATGAACTCCTTGAGGAAAAATCTCAAAATTCTGAAGATCTGGCAGAACTTATACGGAAACTTGGAGAAAAACTGTCAGTTGACTCTAAGGAAGAAGAAAGCAAGAGATAACCTAAATGTTTAAGAAGTGCAACAGAACGTTAAAGAATTCACTTAAAGCCATATTTCTGTTTTTCTCAAGTCTAGCTCACATTTCTACAACAGATTCAGAAATTAAATCATTCCAGTTCCTTATTGAAAAACCACAGTGGCAAATCCTCTGGGTCCACGGTGAGGAGGAGATGCCACTTGAGTAAAGATATTTATTTATTATTTACCTGTTGAAGAAGACTTAATTTGAGATAATTTCTGATATTCAGTTTACCTCTTTTAGAATTCCAGTGGAATCTTGATGAGCCCAGTCATGAAAGATTAAATGCATAAATCTAAACTTTTCTTACATTAACTGGTTATTTTTGCAAATTTCCTTTTGTAGACATTCTTACATATATTTTAGTGCAGCAAAAGAGGAAAATTCCAGGCTTTTACATATTTATATCAAAAGCTATTTAATTTTTCAAGCATTCCCAACTAGCAAAAAAAATCTAACTGCCTTTCTTAAAAATATGCAGGATATTAAAGTAATTTATTTGAACATCTCCTTGAAGAGATAGATACCAGAATACTCGGACTACTGTGTTACACTTTTCCCTATTTATCCCTCTCACCACTGGACTATCCTGAAATATACCTAATTTCCAATGGGAGTTAGTGCATTAAGAAAGAAATATTTTTCACCAAGTTTATTGAAAAGCTATTGCTGAGGCCTGAAGAAAACTTCTTTAATCCAAAAGAATTAATCTTGATGTTCTGATCTGTTTTAGAATTCACAAATTCTCCATCTTTTATGTCTTGAACTAAAACTTGCGAACTTTGGAGTAGGGGTTTTAATGTAAAGCTGTTGACACATTTATTTAAGGTGGAAGATACTAAAATGTTAGGTGCAAACCCTGTCTCTGAATTCCAGGTACATTATGTGTTGGGGACCATGTTTCCCCACAGTTAAACTTAAGTCATTGATTTTTTTTCGGATCTATTCTTAGCAAAGAAAAAACTGCTGTTCCAAAAATTAAGGAAATCTCATCTTCTATTGATTTGCATCCCTTGTCCTTTTTTCTACTAGAGAAAGCTCAGGTCTTGTGCTGTATTCACTAGGACTTCTTCAATGAAGAATCTTCATTCCATGTCATCATTAGAAGCCACCAGTGCTTCCACCCTGCCCACTGCAATACTTCTATGTCTCCTTCTGTTAAGCCAGAGAAGAGGTCCCATGCTGTGCCTGGCTGATAGTTGTGTGAGTGGCCAGCTAATAAATCCATGCAGGATAGTCAGCTGGTTTCTGTCTCTCGAGATAGATAAAGGCCAAATTCCATCTAAATTTTCCCTCAGTTATATAGTAATTTGGGTTTCTGACTTCTGACAATCACCAATTCTGGGACTATTAGAAGCATATATTACTTTGGGGATCTCTGCTTCTCTAAGGCTTGGTAGAAATTAGTGAAAAATTGTGACAAGAACATCAAGATGTATAATGCACCTGTAAAAGCCTTGTATGTTTAGGAAACAAGGCTGAAAATGGCTTGTCAGTAATTGCTTTTAAATTAGCTTTGTGAAACTTGTTTATTGTGGAATGTATCAGAATGTTCTTGCCTCTCCCCTTTAGACTGGAGGTTATTTTTTAAAGGGTTTAGATTAGTTTCTAGCTGAATTTACTGGTAGTCCTTTTTTAAAAAAAATTTTGTGAAATCACTGTGTATTTTCAGGGGAAAAAGAGTGCATTAGAAAGGGTTTTGAAACCATGTAGAGAGAGGTGGAAGCATGGGGCTGTGTCCTGCCTGGAGAGCGGTGGAAGCCTCTGTGCCCCGAGCATGTTTGTCATGGTTTGGGGGAACTGCTCAGCCTTCTGCTTGGCCCATTACTTCAGCCACAAATGGAGCGTCTGGGACAATACATGTCCTTGTAGGCCTCAGGCATAATGAACTCAGGGTTTAGAAACTTTTAAGGCTTCTTCCTCTGAGGGAGGAGAAGGAAAGTACGATTTTCAAAGGTAGTAGAGCAGTTTGTATTAAAAAACACAGTGCGCTGGCCTGAAAAACTGAACTACAGAATATCCAGTTTCATAACTCACCTTTGATCACGAAAAAGCGTTACCTCATAACCTGCAGTATTTTCCGTGGTAATCAACAGCGGTTACTGCAGACCTTGAGATGACCCAACTGGCTGTTCTTTGTCAGAAACACTCTGGTTCCCGTGTCAGCCGCTGTGTAGAAAACGAAGGCAGTTGAGGTGATCTTGGGCTGGAAGGCAGCATGACACTAGCTTTACTGCCTTTCAGCTCCTGGATGGTTCCTGTCCATCTCCCTTGGCCAGGACTGGCCACTGATTTTGCATTCCTGCTTGAGTATTTTGGGCCTGGTTGTCTGAAGCAGTGAGCACTTACTACAACTCCACTGAATGACCGTGTTAGAGGCCGGACTGCTCAAAGCATATTTTCCATCTTTGACAAGCTCTTCAGAAAATCTGTTGGTCGGAACCTGAGGTAACAAGGACTGTCAAAGTTCACTTTCAGTAATCAAAAGTCTTTATTTTTGGTCATTGTAATAGACAATTTGGATCTAAAATCTAGTTCTAGATGATGTAGAACCTTCAATCTCCATAAACCCAATGTAAGGAAATACATAAACACAGTTTAAGATCCAGGCACTTCTGAAGTGAAGATTTTTATTACAGAGGTAAAATGGACACTGTGAATTTGTTTAAGCCCAAATTTTGACTTACCTTAAAATTATATGATCATAATGTATATATTGTATTTCATGAAGAAAATATGTACGGATTTTTTTAATTCAATGAAGATATTTTATATGTAGTTATTACTCATGGAACAATTTGTTAAATATATTTGAAGAGTTCTATTGCCAAATGTAGTGTGACAAGCAATGTAGTATTTAAAATGAGCACAATACCAAATATATTATTCTGATAAAAAAATTAAATGTACCAGACTCAAAATACCTTTGTGATGTATTGTATGAATACATTGATCCTTCACTGGGAACCTTTGGCTGTTCTTGCTTCAAAGGAAGCAGCAAGACAACTATGGTAAAACACTTTAACTTGCTAGCAACACTAGTACAAAAAAAAAGTTTCATAGAAGAAATAACGGTCTTTTCATATTTGATTAGACTCAAGGTCAAGTATTTTATCTGCTGTGACTAACTGTGACTGATGCTAGATGTTTCAGAATGTCTCTGGTAGGTAACAGATAATTTGCATCCTACATGGTTCTCTTTCTGGTTTCTAGTAAGACAAGATTGACATTGATGAGGAAGTATTTCCAGAATTTTTTGTGAATTATTAGGAAAATAAGATAGTCTTGCTACCTACTTAAATGTTTCTTTAAATCTTGGGGTTTTTTTTGAGCTCAGCAATTCCTGCAGCAGCAGCTTCCACATCTAAACCAGACCTGTTATGAAGAAGTATTCCCTTTATAATTATTTTTTCCCCTGAATTTTTCTTAAGCTTGAATTATGAGACATGGTGAGTAGAATCTGTAATCTCTTAGGCATTTTCTGTTCATGCAAACATATTTCACAAAAAGATACAGGAAGGCTTAAGAAATTGTGAACAGAGATCCCCATATCAACAAAGCTTTGCCCAAGGGTTTTTCCTCCTATTCTGGATGAAACAAAATCATGCCTAACTATTGTGAAACAGACTTATACATCATGGAGGACTGCAGATATTAGAGAGTAATGTTGCAATGGAAGCTTAAGATAGTGAAGATTTGCAGTAACAGGTCCTGAGTAAGAGCTACAGGGTTTCACATATAGGTTCAGATATTCCAGGTTAAAATCTGCTGTATTTCACCCTATTTTAGAGCACTGCCAGGCCAAGCCAATGAATCTTACTGATTTTAAAGTGAGATCTACAGATTCATCTGATTTTAGATGCCAGCCATAAAGACTTCAGCATCTGAGCTCATCTAGACTTTCTTGTATTCAGTGGATAGAAATGGTCAGAGGCATGGTTTTGCTTCATCTTACAGTGGACAAGTATCCCAGGTGAGTCATATAGTAGAAGTGACCATTTCTCTCCAGTTACTCTAAAGAAGCCACTGTAGCTGTTAGAAAAGTTTATAATGAAGTGTGAGAAGTCCCAACTTGGCAGAAATGAGCACTGCAGTATACTGCAGAGCCATGAACCATCACAAATGGTCATCTCTTGGAAGCAACTGAACTGATGATGCCATCATTGAGAAGGGCAGGATCTAACCTGCCTCCAGAAGAGTCCGGCCCGTCCCCCAGGGATGACAGATGCATATGGTTCTTCTTTACTCTGCGGCAATATTACATTTTTACCTTCTTCATTAGTGTGTGGATAGGCATAAATGAAAGTACCCATTAATGGCATCTACCCCAGACATGAGAAAAACTGTAACTTACGGTGCACATGGCAACTAAATTCTTGTTGATAAACCAGGTGCTTTATGATAAAGAGGAGTTAATATCCCATGTTTTAGTACCTTGTCATGAGCATATATTTTCAATATGTCTTCAAAGTTTACAATATACAGTTTGATCTTGGCAGTACTACAGCTAGAACAGCTGTATCATGTAATTTACTAAGAACATGTACTCATGACTGCAGTGTCCCAAAATGCAGTTTAATCCAATGAAATCTTGCATTTCCCTCTTAGAGAGTCCCTCAAGCTTGAAATTTGTAGCTGAACATTATAATTAATACATTATATACCACATAATGTGCAACTGTACTCCTTTGCAGAACAGTAGAAATCATCCTTATGTTGAAAATTGCTCATTTTTTCATGTAAATATTTAATGCTTTTTAAAATTCGTTAGAAAATGCCTGGTGCGAATAATATTTCTAAGTGCTTATGTTCCTGCTGAAACTTTAATTTGGCCTGTGGCAAATAGAACACATCAATTTAAAAGTTTGTGTTTGTCAAAATACTTGTAATTCAGGAGCTCATATCAAAAGAGAAGTTGGGCAAGGCTGAAGAGTGTATCTTAGACTCCATGCACTTAGAAGGTCAGGGAATCCCATGTGATACACTACTCTTCCCTGATGTATATGACCTTGAGTAGCTCAAAATATTTCACTTGTTCTCATGTTTCCACTGTTGCAAAACCCAAGTCTGCTGTTCCTCTTTCAGTTCTTGTTACCATCCTTAATGTGACAGTGCAGTGGGGATCACAAGGTACCATCTTTCAGTGCTTTCTGTGTCCAAGCAACTGTATTTTAGTAGCGTCTGGTTTTGTTTTAACCTTTTCAATATTCTGTGATTCAGCTCCTTGACATTTACTCTTTGGTCCTTTAATCGATGGATCTCCAATCAAAGTAGCTGAAGAAGATCAGATTGTCTAGTATGCAAAGCACAGTTCAGCAGATAAATCATTATCAATATTAATAGCAATATTTTTGTGCCTCTTACTTTTATTTGTGAGCACTTTTTGATCACTTAGATATTTCATTGTGCTTCATAAACAAGT